CCCCACAATAACTTTTATCACAGTTACTCTCATATGCTGTGAAATGGGGTCCCTAATAAATTTCAGACAAGTCGTTCCGTATTGGTTGTTCTTCTATTTACCTCAATAGGGGGTTCCAGTGGCCGAGTGGTTAGTGTATTAAGACTGACAAAAAAGTCGAGCATACATAGGTGACAGAGCATTTAGGTTAGGTGGATTGTCATTTGGGTGTGTCGCTGATCAAGACACGATAACCATTATTCAAAGAAGCAGGGTAGGCCTACTTCACAGTGGAGACCAGCAATGAGTGTGTTTGTAGGTGTGTTTTTGTATGTATGCAGAGATTTATGTGCTAATGTATAAATTTCAATGTATGATAATTATGTGTTTTGCAACTCTTAACCAAATTTCTCTAGGCTTAGGGAGATCAGTAAAGTGGAATTTATAATGATTTATTTATTATTTGTGAGGCAGCGTGGTGGAATCAGGCTCTCGTCAAAATAATGAAATCGAAGGAAAAAGTAGTTTTCTCCCTGCTTAGCAGTTTTTATCAATTTTTTTTTTTGGGCTCAACACCTTTTATGTCCATTTACAAACACATTCCTTTGAGGATTTCACCGAAAAATATCGATTAAAGGCTCAATAATATAAATTTACAGTTTCCATAGACTCTCTAGCTTTGGAATTTACCAAGCCTTGGCGACCAGTTTCTCGCTAATTTTACTTCTTAAACCAGGTGACCCCCACCTCCTTCAATCCAAAATAATTATCCCCACTTCTGTTGAAAGATGGATGGGTAATTTTTTCATTGAAAGCAAGACAAATGAACAAGCTTTAAGATGGTACCAATAACTAAATATGCCCAAAAATTGACGAGAGCCTGATTCCACTACGCTGCCTCACATTTTATGATTGTTATATCGCACCTGCACACACTTTTGAGCAACTTCGACCAACCGTCCGAGCAGGCCCTGTGTGTGTGTGTGTGTGTGTGTGTGTGTGTGCGTGTGTGTGTGTGTGTGTGCGTGTGTGTGTATATGTGTGTGTGTGTGTGTGTGTGTGTATGTGTGTGTGTGTGTGTGTGTGTGTGTATGTGTTTGTGTTCGGATGTGAATGATTGACTATATTTCTCCCCTAACGGAGGGAAATTTTTGTGGAGTAAATCGACTACTATATAGTGTCTCTCCCGGTCGAGCTAACCATCAAACAAATGCCACCATTGTTTGCCGTCATTTAAAAACATGAATATGAAGGCGTAGATCTAACAATATTTCAAAGGGTCATTAATTTTTTTCTTCTTCGTTTTTTTTTTTCCTTTTGTTTCTTTTTTTCTACCACAAATGACACCCCGCTCAATTCTTATTTTAAGAAGGATATAGATGTCTAGAAATGTAAACTTACTCTATTTTACGCCTTGCTCTGCGTTGTGGCGAGTAGCCAAAATTACTTTCAGCTTTTTTGTTTGTTTATATTACAGAAAAAATGACGGTACTGCAGGACAAAACTCAAGCTGGCTGTGACCGTTTAAAAAAATATTTTTCTGATCGCCCTGTTTACTTTTCCTTTTGTTTGTTTGTTTGTTTGTTTGTTTGTTTGTTTGTTGTTGTTGTTGTTGTTGTTGTTGTTGTTGTTGTTGTTGTTGTTGTTGTTGTTGTTGTTGTTGGCATTAAGTTGCATTCTTTCCTTGGTGTTTTCGACCATCATTTGATGCCATTAAAGTTTCTTCAGGTTTTATTGTGCTCAATTTCCTCTTTTTTCATCCTCCAATATTTCTGTCAATGTCAGGCCTAGGCCTAAAGTGAAATGTGACGAGGTGTTTGGTGCCAAGTGCCAACTATAGATTTACACTAGATCTATGTCTAAATCTATGGCACCAACTCAATTTAACCACAGGCTTTAAAAAATTATTATTAAATACTCTCTGGTTTAACCACTGGTTTAACCAAGGAATTCAACTCTTGGGAATCATAGATGAGGACAAAAATGGAGAGTTACATTTCTTAGTTGACTGAAAGGCCTTCCATTACTTCCAAGAAACCAACCAATCTTGTCAAATTGGCCTTCAAATCTAGATCTATAATCTAGATCTAGATCTAGGCCCTAGTCTATTACATTAATGCTAGATTTCACGGAAGGAAGATGAGGTAGAATTCTGGTCCTGGAAAAAGCGAGCTTTGGCCGCTTAGTAATAAAACACTTAAGAAGAGACATAGCCCTATAATATTATTACGTAGTGTCTGGGACACTTGGACAGACACAAAGGAGGCTTTGAACATCTTGCTCTCTTAAAAATAAAAGTATTGTTAGAAAATACGTTGCAAAACAAGGACCCTACAATAAAAGAAAAAGGAAAAATCGGCAGACGTACAGCAAAAACAACTTATTCAGAGAACTGGAACGAATTATGTGGCTGGGAAAAAATTGTAAGTTGTTGTTTTAGGGGAGTTCGAGCAGAGACTTGAGTTAATATTTAAACCAGATCGCCAAAGTCGGTTTCAGATCCGGCACTTTATGGTGATATGGAGTTTAGATATTGTAGGGTATGGGACTATCCATCGTAATGTTTTTCTTTCTTCTTCTTGTGCTATTGGTTTTCGTATACTCCCAATTCTAACTCGGTACGTTTCTTTCTAAAATTTTGAAATCTTAATGCTCATTGGGCAGAGTCACAGCTTCATCAAGGTGGATGATCAGTTCTGGCAGTAGATTCTAGCCTAGATCTATTATTGTCATGAATAAGGTCAAAATTGGAAAAACCTGGCAAATACTTTCGTTTGGGGTCTGCAGTCTGCTATGGTTTTAAAAATGGAGAATGGACTGGACGGACAGTGGTAGTACAGTACAGTAGCCTATCCAGTATCCGGACGGACAGTCGAGCCAAGCTAATTGACTGCTTTTCATCCAAAACATTTCCTGCTCTTGCTTGAGCCGTATTGATCTAGATATTAGATCTAGATCTAGATCTAGACTAGATTCTAGAAGCTTTTCAATTCGCATTTTGGATAATTAAGGAATTTTGCGTGTGTGCCTGCCCCTGTTTATCAGAAGACTGAACGTAGACGTTCTCAGGCTCATTCTGACTCTAGGATCAAGATCTACAATCAGCTGCAGATCTAATCTAGATCTATATTTTATTAATTAGAAGTCAGTGATTTAAGAAGTTGAATGTGACGCTCTTCCTTCTCCAGAATGTCGGAGGACGCTGACAACTTACGAGTTATTTTTTTCTCCTTTCTCAACTTATTTTTGTTTTGTAAGTGCCGTTGTTATGGCGTCTAGATGTAGATATCTAGATTTCTAGTTATGTTAGATCTATAATCTATATATATACTTAATTATTATAATGGAATTCACTGCTTAGAATTGAGATTCTTTTACACCTTTTGGTCTAAAAAATATACACTCTTAAAGTAGCTTAAGGCTTAAGAATTTAAGAATCCGTTGAAACGCAATGCCGATGGGAAATAGAGCAGTTGTCATGGGCCAGAGGATGTCAGAATCAGAATGAGACAGCTCATTATTAGGATGTGTGTTTTATCATTTCTTTTCTGTGTTGCCAGATCAAACAAGAGTGAGACCACATTGTGCAATGCCTCTTCCTTTTGGTCCCAAAATTATATGAATTGTCTGCTCTGCTGGGAAAAACAGCAAAAAGCACTTGTCTCTCTCGCTCTCTTTCAGGTTAAACATCATACCAAAATTAAAGGAATACCAATATTCCAGTACTCTTGGGGCCAACACCAGAGACTGCCTTTATAATTTAAATTATAATTATTGCTTCTGATTTGCAGCCTTTATTTTCACTTGAGCGTACGCTATCAGTTTCTGGGTCTTGTAATATTCTGTTTTATTTGAAACTCCACAGGTTTAGTGAGAGTAGCAGTTCTGCTGTCACCACTACCTGTTCCGAATAATTTCATCATGCTTTTGATAGGGATCATTGGAGGTATGTCTTTGATTCTTTCTTATAATATTATATTTATGGCTTCTTTAATGATTAAATTGATTGCATTCCTAAAGAAACAAGACAAGTGGATGGAGCTGGTTGCAAATTCTACAGTGGTGCCCCAATGGTCAGCAAGACACAGGACAGAGTGAAGTGACTGTAGATTTCTGGTTGTATTTTAATGTTCATTTTACATAACTTGAGTGAGTTTGAGCTTTTCTGTAGGGAAAGGGATGGCACTTGAACATTTTTCCTGTAAAGAAGTTCTGTTCTCTATACTGCCTGGTAAAAGGTGCTCTGGGAAGCTACATTCCCCTTGCTACTTCTAAGTCACGAGGAGTTAATGTTTATATATTATGGCTTCTTCTACAGATTAGCAAGCTACAGGATTGTAGGACCTACATAAAACCAAGGTCTGGCATGCTGTTTAATTTTTTTTACGGGGAAAAAACTGATGCTGGCAAAGATGCAATTGATCAGCTAAAATTATAATGCGTAATTCAATTTTTTAAAATTTTTCTAGCTCAAAGATAGTAGTCTTTTCAAGATTCCTCTTCTTTGTTTCCTCTATTTTTCACATGGGTACTTTAGGTTTACATAATCCTACTGTTGGCTTCCTGCCAGTACAAGAAGCTGTCAGTCATTTTTTTTTCTCTGTCGCCTATTCACATGAAACAGTTAAGTGTGCAGTTAATTAAATGCCGATAGTCAGCATTAGCTCTGGTTTGTGTTCAGAAAAAGGCTTTGCAATTGAGAGGCATATCTTTCTGTTTCACTGAATAGGTTTTATCGATGAGCATTGTTATAATTATTTCACTGTTCCGACTTAAATCAAAATTTGCCTTTTCTTTTATGTCATACGTTTGCTGTCAAGTTTATACTCTGGTTATTTTGAGCGCGATGTTGTCCCTGTCTGTATTATTGATTTTAATGTTTGAAAATTAAATAACACAGTCCCAGTCCTTTTAGTATTTTCTTTACTAATATACTTTTTTTTTTCTATCAGGGTATTTGGATAGATATGTTGTTGAGCTCAATTATGTGTCTCTGCTGCGAGTGGCTCTGAAGTCTTCAGTCACCCTCATAGACATCATATTTCCTGTGATAATGTTTGAAGCAACATACTTCACATCTCTTGAGCCATTTGTTATCACAGGAGCATGGATTTCCCTGTTTCTTCCCATTGCTTTTGGTGAGCATTTCGATGGTCTTTTCTTATTATTACATTCATGTATCCTTTTGAAGTAAGTGTATTAACATTTTTGGTTTAGCTGTTATCCTTTTGAGTACCAAAATTTTCAATGTGTTTTGTGTGTAGAGTATCCCAAGTTACCATGTAAGAAACTTGGTTTGATGTTGTATGCATTTATACTCTGTGCTTTCCCAATATCTCTAACTCAACTTTCGTAAATACATAGCCTCATATCGACATAATATCACCGAAGTGCATTTAGAAGCTTCTTTATACACAAGTGCATCCTCACATACACAGTCACACCTTCCGACTCACTTATTATACACTCACAAACGCACACACACACACACACACACACACACTCACACACACACACACACACACTTTCACCCACACACATTCACACACACACACGCACACTCTCACACACACACACACACACACACACTCTCACACATACGCGCTCACACACACACACACACACACATACGCATGTACAAATTTCTCCCTTCATCTCACTCTAGACACAACATGGAAATATAAGGTATTCACATTTAAACCAAGTCTACAATAATACCAAAATGTAGGTACAATATAATATACACTTACAAAGCACTTTGTGTGCCTATATGTCTTGTCATTCTCATATTATAGTGCTTAGTATTTTGGGTGAACCAAGAAAAAAGTCTCCATCTTATAGTGTTCAGCATTTTATAAACTTTCCGATTTACGTACTATCGCTTTCAAGGAAAGATTTGATGTTGTGAACATGTATTTCATTTAATAGTCTGACAATCCATTGAAATTTTGTTGATTTTATTTTCAATTATTTTGAATAGGGTTTTCAGTGATGGTTATTGCTGCAGCAGCTACACTTTTGTTTGACTATGGCTGGACCTGGGTTCACGGTGTCATCCTGGGATCTATCATTGTGGTGCCTGGGCTTGTTCTCACTCGGTCTTTTTTAAAACGCTTAAGTAAGTTTTGGTTTAGTTATCACCCAGCAATTATGGGTAAGAGTATAATGTAAGAAACTTGTATGGTATTATTAAGAGAACTGACTGAAGGTCTTGTTATTTGGGATGCTCGCTAAAGTTTTTTATTTTTTTAAATTTCCTGTTCCAATGTGGTTTTATTGAAGCTGTTTTTTTGTTTTTTTAAATTAATCCTTTTCTTATCATGAAGTGCCAGGTCTGAACGACATTGGCAACTATGTTTGGCCATTTATTTCTTTGTTCATATGCTCTAAAAAAATAACTTTCGTTATCTGGCCTATCCCTGTCACATGATTTTTTATTGTCTGTTACGATTTTCCAGTTTAGCTTCTCTGGTCTACCTCAGCCTTGTTTGCCTTTTGTTTTCCCCGTAAAAGCAATATGGTCAAGGCCTTGGTGTCTACTCAAGGGTCCCAAAAACTGCATTTGTCTTTTTCTAATTTTTTTAAATTAATGAGTGGCCCATGCAGGCTTCTTTCACTTCCATTGTAGCATGAAGAGACATACACACATGTAAGTTGTAGCAGGACGAGACATAGCTTTCATACATTCCACCGGAACAGCTTGGACACTTTCATTGAAGTGTTACCCATGAACTCAAGTGTGACGTACTACACATAACAACAACACACCTCAACAATTTGGTCTTAAGGTTAGTCGCCACACCATCTCATTTGATTTCTTTTCCTTCCATGAAATTTTCAATGGTAGGCCTACCCTAAGAAACCACATTTCTGTTTTCTTCTAGCTGTGGTTGTATTGTCTTACTAGCTCACATTGGCTTGTTGTGATGCTGAGGGGCTGTTACTGTTTGTCAGTATCTGTTTTCTGAGATTAGTAATTGTTTTTTTTTCTTAATTCCAGTGCTCAAAGTGAGTCACAAGCTGAATGAGGTTGAAAAATTAACATCCAATCTACTAACATGTCTACTAAAAAGTCTGTTGTGTTCCTCGTCTAAAAACCAAAAACACAATGAGACTTTTTCAGACATTCATTAAAGGGGGGAAAAAAAGAGAAATGGTGTTCCATGGTAGGGAGGAAGTGTAAGAACTAATCTTCTAGTTAATGGTTTGTTAAAAGACTGGATGTTAATTTTTAGACCTGCATCTGTTGAGAAGAAAGTAATTATATATTTTGAAATACAACTGTATATTATTTGTTTTGCATTGTCTTGACAGCTGCATCATCAAAGCTTCGGAGCCTTTTGGAGGGGGAAGCGTTAGCTGGAAATTGCCTGGCTTTCATTGTGTTCAAGTTTGTCATCCTGTATCTGAAAACTGACAAATTTCTTGTGTCAGGTATTTTTTTTTCAAGCTAAGTATGCAGAGTTATGTATTTTTTATGGACTTACATTGTCCCTATATTTTTAGCTTTTGTGAAATTCTTTAAATTGCCTCCCGGAGACTAACAAATTTACCCATTACTTCCCAGTAGGAGTCACAACCCCTCCAATGGAAAATCCAAGCACATGAACTCTACTGCTATATATGAGGCATCATGGTGGAATCAGGCCCTCGTCAAGATAACGAAATCAAAGAAATTAATATTGGCATTTTTGGGGTCGATTGGCAATATTTGTTTAAGTTTCTTTTTTTGGCTGTACACATTTTATGACCATTTAAAAAACATTTTTTGTGTGGATTTTACTGAAAAAAATTGATTAATGGCAAAAAAAATTTTCCTGTTTCCAAGGAACTCTCAGGCTATGAAAGTTATCAAACCTTTGTGGCAATTTTCTTGTTAATTTTACCTCTGCAACCAGGTGCCCTGACCTGAAGGGTCCTTCAACTGCAAATATTTCAACTTCTATTCAATTTAGATGGATATTTTTTCACTAAAAATGAAGGCAAATGAACAGTCTTTAAGATGATACCAATAACTCCATAATATGTCCAAAAATTGACGAGCGCCTGATACCACTACGTCATGACACATATGTTCTGAAGTGATGTTTACTCTGGTGTGTTACCTTCTCATTATCTTCTTCCATCTACTGATATCTTGTAAGTTAAAATGCTGTCTTTGAAATTACTTTTTTTTTATGATACAATTTAACAGGTGTTACTTTGGTATATTCGCTAAAGCAAATAGACAAAATCAGTGTACTGGTGAGAAATGGTCATATGAACAAGCCAGTTATCAAGAACTGCGGAATGCATGCAAGCACATTTCAGTCATAACATATGTGTACGTGCCTAAAGAAAGGTACCAAAAGTCGCCACAGACCATTTTGAGCTACCGGCTGATAATGACAAAAATCAGTTTTTTGACAAAAATGTATTTCCATTTAAAAAATGATAGTTCCACCTTTTTTTTAACAATGTGTTAAAAGGGTTTTCATTGCTTTGACTTTTAAATATTTTTTGGGGAATAATTTTTAGACTGCTGTATTTTAAAAAGAGATAATAAAAACTGCTTTTAAAAGGTGTTAAAATCTATTCTTGAAGCATGTTTTCTCTTCCCTGCTATGTTTTACCATTGAATTCTAATCATGATATTGATGTCAACTGAATACCAGATTGGAAATTAATTTTCCATGAATAAATACACTAGAGACAACTGAATCATTGGGGTTTTTTTTTCAAGTTTGTATGTGTTCTAAACTTTAAAGCTATTTTTTCAATATTAGATCTTTATACCCTACCTCGCAGAATGTGCAATATCTGAATAACTACTTGGGATATCTCATAAAATTAAAAAACCACTGTGTTCAGCATTGAATTTCCTATAAGGTACAAAAATCCGACTTTTGGTACCTTTCTTTAAGCACACACATAGGCCTATATATTATGCAAACAAAATTTATTGAAAGGACAGTTTTTAGGTTCAGTTCCCTGGAATATGAGAGCAGTGACTTTTGTCTTGCACTTGAAAATACATTCTGACTTATTAATTAGTTTATAGAAGTTGGTACTTCAGGAGGTAGGTAGAGGGACATCCTGAATTCTTTGTTGGAAGAGAAAATATATGTTATAGCAGCAAACCGAAAAATTTTAGTTTCATTTGTAAGACGAACAGTGCTTTACAGCTTTTTCCTATTTTTTAAAACTGTTTATCACCTACTTTTTCTACCTTTTCTGTCTTTTTAAAAATTTCAAGCAAAATTAGTCATCGCAAACTTCTTTCATACTTAAACTTACCATTTGATATGATTTGTGAGGCACCTTTTTATATGATTATACCTCATCCTGAATTGGATAAGTTTTCTTTTTTTTTATTATTAAAACAGGAATGGTGATAGAAGTATGTGTAGCCCCACTGTGGGGGTTGTTGGTGGCCAAGATCGTGTCCTTCTGGTTGTCTAAGACTGTGAAAGACCCTGTCAATGAAATATGCATCACAATCGCCTCTGTTTACACTTGTTATCTGCTTGGTGAGTGTTCAGATGTTATAAGGTTTACTTGAAAGCAATATACAGTATAATCCCCTAATATCAACATGCTTTGGGAAGTCGATTTGATGTCGATATATAAAAATGTCGATAAATGAAAGTGTAAAGCCAAAGAGGAAAAACCAATGGGAGGTCAGCGGTAAAAGACAACGCTACTTTTTAAGCTGGCTGCTTCCCTTGATTCTTGTAACTAATAAGAGGCAGAGGGGAGGGGGTTGGAGTTACGGTACCAAAGACCGTGCAGCGCGAGGTGCACTCTACACACTAGCGCAAACTTTCTTGTAGCATTCTTTTAAGGCCATTTATCAGAGTTTGTGGCTGCTTGCTGGGGAAAATGGAAAGGCAAGGCATTGACTTACTGACCGTGGTACTTGCCAGCGACAGACTGAGAAAGGGATGGGGAAGGGGAGTGAGCGAGAGGAAGTGGGGGTAGGGAGGTGTTTCCCAGCGCACGAAACGCTCACCTCTGTGAGTAGAGGCTCTGTACTGTGTTAGAGACTACACTGTGTAGTCCCTCCTTGACCTACTAAAGCCTGATGTGTCGATATTAGGCTACTTGGCGGGTATGCAGACTTAATGAAGAACTAATGCGTTCACCGCCAGGTACCCAGGAAGCATGTTGATAAAGCAGAGTGGGCCGAAAAAAGTTGATATAAGAGAAATTGTTTTGTGAAGATATTGAAGGAAAAATTTCGTAATTGGAAAATATGTCAAATGTCGATAAATCAGACATTGATATAAGTTTATTATACTGTATTTTTTTTTTCCTTTGTGCTTTCCACAATTCTATTTTGGAGACACAGTCAGTACTTTGCGTCCTGACCTTATTTTTTGTAACTTACTCGCATTTGATATGCGCTTCTTAGTGTTAACCATCCAGACACCAGCAGTAAAAGTGTTTTAGTTTATTCATTTTACTTTTAAATGTGTTAATGTCTTATTAATAGAATAACTGAAAGCAGAGCCCATCTTTTAGAATGAAATGGTTTTTCTCCTGACCCTGTGATGTGACAAATTTGGTTTTTCTCTGAATCTGCAGCTCTTAAATTCAGGGTGTCAGGTGTTATTGCTGTTGTCACTCTCGGAGTTTCCTTGAGTGGAAACAGATCCAATATGGGAGTGGACACTGAGAAAATCTTACTGAGGTGAACAAAAGAGTTCAGTTTGTGATATTTGTTTGTTTGTGAAGCAGAGAAGCTGTTTATTTATTATTACTTTTAATGAGTCAGTAACCTAGATTGTTTCTTGTAAATACAAGTCTTTTACTGCTGCATGATATAATTGTTTAAATTTGTTTATATGACAGATCACAATGAATACTAGAACTAGAACATATCTTTCTTTATTTGTAATTATTTTTATTGTTCTGACTGGTAGATAAGACATTAAAACTGCAGACAAATTTTAAATTTTGTAGTCAAAGTGTGTTTTGATAATACGAAAGAAATTAAATGTTTTTCTAAAATGTTTCTCCTCTAGCATTTGTCACATTTGTATATTGATATAGTTTCATCGATAGGGATTTTGAATAATTTGAATTGGTATCATTGGGGAAAATTTCTATTGAGTATCTTGATTTTTCTGATGGGATGTTCTATTCCTCGCAGACTGGGCTGGCCCTGATGGACAGGCTTGAAACCTTCCTCCCAAATAATGTAAATAATGTTGATGGGAGTATAAAGTTTTTTTAAAGAGAAGAAATAGATTTGCAGGTAGTGTTTTTCCAATTATATTTGAAATTACAACTGATACTGATCTGAGGTACAATTATTCGTTTAATAAAATGTATGGAAGTCTGCACAGTCTTTCTTTTCTGTTTTCCTTCAGGTCTCTTCACGTGGTGTCTTCTTACTTCAGTTGTAACCTGATTGTTGTGTATGGAATGGCAGTTGTATATTACGTTGTCCCCGTCATTGAGGGAAAAGACCTGTGGAATATACTTCTTGTCTTTCTCATCAACAACATTGTTCGGTAAGTTATTGATTTTGATAATGTTATTTCAGAAGACAGTTCATCTCTTTGACCAAACGCAATTTTGTTCGTCAGGACTATAAGAGTCATTTTTAAGCTAACAAGAATGTTTTTCTTAGTGCAGAAATCTATAAATGTAAGTCTTGTTCAAGAATGTCACTGTTAGAGCAGAGAGAGGACTCATCTTGTGATATTGACCAATACAGTAGAACACGGCTATAGCGGGACAATTGATTCCAAGAGAAAAATCCCACTGTGGGCAAGTTCCCGCTATAGGAATGCAAATTGGAAATTACCGAGAAATTTCTTTAAATCCACATGATTACCTCCCTTCAATATCAATGAAATTTGCGCTTTTGATTAGTCTTCCTTTTCTTGTCAACGTCATTGGTTATCTCGGCCTTTAATTTGAGTGAGAAGCATTTCCTTTTGTCTTTGTTGGAAGCCATCTTTTCCTCAGTCTCGTTGCTTATGCTGTCTATCATACTGGTAGGCCTACTGTAGAGCTGGTGAAGTGGATGCGTGAGTATGCCTATGAGCATCAACGATCGCAATTGAGTGAATCAGGAATCACACACTACACGCTCTCCTCTTGTATTACTTTTTGGCCTAGCCTAGGCCTAGGGCTATGGCCTATACGCTCTCATACTGAGCGTCTAAGCTACGGCACATCACTTTTGGAGTTGCTTACGTAACGCGTCTCTCCGCACCATCTCTCTCTGCTGCCTGCCCCACCTCACTCATCACTGGACTGGCCAATCACAACGATGCACTGCTGACTGCCTCAAAAACAGAACGCTGCACAGTGGCAACTAGCAATGGTGTGCGGATTGTCTGTGTTTGTGATATTATGTATTATTTAGATAGTGTGATATAATATAGTGTAAAGCTCATAGTTTTGCTATAGAGTGGGGTTATGCGCTATAGAAATGCAACTTATTATTATTTATTATTATTGATACAGACTTCAACAAAAGCTAAGGACCACCTTTACAGACAGCCTTGATTTTTAAAAAATCCGAAAAAAAGACGGCAAGGAATGTTTCAATTTTTTTTTGCTCTGAAAGTGTTCATGGGTTACCAATTCGTACTGCAGAGCTTCCTAAAGGGGCAAAACTACCACGTGCTGCACTCCAATCCTCGGGGAATTTTAGCCACATTTGCTGTTTTTTATCGACTTGTGTGCGACACCAGGGACATTCCTCAGTTAAAATTTCTTGTGCACGTCATAAACGGACATACGGTCTCGAACTGTGCTCACTTTGGTGGCAATATAAGCCGCCGTTTGCTCAAAATCCGGTATCGCATCAGCATGCCACCAAGACGAAACCTGGGAGACTTTAATGGTGCCAGAGCTATGGCATGGCTGCAAGATGGAGTTGGAGCCCGAGAAGTTGCCAGAAGGCTTGCAGTGTCACACTCTGTCATTGTCCGGCTGAGGCAGCGCCATCAAGCCACTGGATCCATCCAAGAGCGCCCACATGCAGGTCGACCCAAGAAGACCACTCAGAGTGTTTGCAAGTCGTCCTTAACTTTTGTTGAAGTCTGTATATTTATATAATATAATTATACGTATTTTGTATATATTCATGAATGGCATTGTAAAACTAAATTTCCCAAGGGGGTCAGTGAAGTGGAATTTATTTGTATATATTCATTCATTACTACTAAATGTGAGGCAGCGTGGTGGAATCAGGCTCTCGTCAAAATAATCAAAGTGAAGAAACTTACATTTTTCCACAGGTTTGTGAATTTTCATAAAATTTATGTTTTTTGGCTCAACACCTTTCATGCCCATAAAAGAACTCATTTCAGTGTTAATTTTTCTGAAATACGTTGATTAAAGGCACAAAAAATGTAAATTTTCAGTTACCACGGACTCTAAAACTAAGGAAGTAACTAATCTTTTGCAGCCATTTTCTCACAAATTTTACCTCTAAAAACAGGTGACCCCCACCTCCTTCATTCACAAATATCTCGACTTATATTCAATATAAATGGATGTTTTTAAAAATGTAAATAAAGGCAACTGAACAAGCTTTAAGATGATACCAATAACTCTACATGCCCAAAAATTGACGAGAGCCTGATTCCACCACGCTGCATCACAAATATCCTTTGTGCCCCCTTGAGATGTCAGTGGACAACAATTCAACAAGGGGAAAGAAAACTTATGCGGTGGAGGTAGTGACATGGTTTAGGCTACTAGTGCTTCCTTGAAAACATGTGTGATTGCTAAAATCTTGGTTAGGGTGTCTTTTATTTTCCTCTTTCTTGAGTTTTGAAACTTTTTTTGCTTGCACTGCCGCTATTTTTACTATGTAAAATAATATTGTATCACAATGTTTAGGTAGTGTAATGTTCTGTTTCTATGTTAGGATAGAGAACTATGCCGCATTGCACATTTAGCTCAGTTTGTTATGCAGGGGTGCAGTGCAGGTTACCCTGGATAAAATCCCTAACTTGGCACTTTTGTATTTTAGATTAAAATGTAAAGAAATGTTTAAGCATCTTCACAAAGTTGGCTGTGTGTTTTCAGAGAAGGACTCTAAATTTAGTCACTGTTGCCTGAGTCATCATCATCAATGCCTTTCACCCCTGGCAGGGTATAGGCCATATACAAGCTCCTTCCATTTATCTCTGTCCTGGGCCTTCCTTCCAAGCTCTTTCCAACTGAGCTTCATCTCTCTCATGTCCCTTAGCACACACATCCTCCATGTTTCCCGTGGCCTACCCCTGCCTCGTGCTCCCTGTGGGTCCTACTGCAGTGACTGTCTTGTGATGTTTCCGCTGGGCTTTCTGAAGGTGTGTCCCACCCATCACCACTTTCTTAGTCCTATTTCTACTTTTATATCCTTTTGTCCTGTCCTTTCTCACAGCTCTTCATTTTTTATTCTATCCTGCCACTTCAGTCTCAGGATACTCCTCATACATCTGTTAATGAAAGTCTGGACTTTGTTCAGCACTGTCTTTGTTGTCTTCCAAGTTTAACAGCCGTAGAGGAGCACATAGTTGACATTGGAGTTATAAAATTGAATCTTGGTGGGCAGTGAGATGTTGCTTGCTTTCCAGACTTTTGTTAATTGATTGAATGCTGAATTTGCCTTGACTGTTCTAGCTTTTAGTTGCCTGAGTAAGCTTGCTGTATTGATGAGGATGTTAAGACATTTGATCAGTTAGGGTACCATACACAAAAAATATTTAGATGCCTCTGTTATCTTAATATCCTCATAGGATAGTTCCTTTCTGTCATGTCTTTTTTTTCTTTTTCATCTAAGAGTCCTCGTAGTTCTGGCTCTGCGGCCCTTCTCCAAATACAACGGTCAGTTGCTGTCCTGGAACAACACTCTGGTCATCTGTTTGTGCAATATTCGAGGTACAGTCACTGCCGTGCTTGGACTCTGCCTGCTGCATGAGGATTTTGGAATAGTTCATAAAGAAAAGGTATGCCTGAAGGACACCATAGTCTTTCCCATTGTTTGACAAAAGTGAAAGGCATAATGAATTGTGTATGTCGTGCCTGCTGTAACTTCCAGCCATTCCTGTTGAAATAGTTTACTTTGTCACAAATTTTATTTTGAACCACTTTGGTCAGCGTGACTGTTTCATTGTTAATCCAACAGTGACTGAGGTTGTGAACATTACAATGTTGTAGATGGTTGAGGTTTTTGTGACTTGTTCCTATTATTTAGGTTTCAAGGGTTGAGAAGAACATGTTGCTCAAGATTCTGCAGATGGGGCAATAGAACAGTGGACGTAGGACAGTTTTGTAAGGATGACGCCAGTGCTTCTCAGTTGGTCTTTTTTGTTCTTATGGCGGTGTAGATTATGTTCTTCTTACAGTGTAGAATATATTTTATGGAACAAGTAATAACTGAATGTTTTATATAAAATTTGAACAAGTTATGTTTTTCTGATGGCTTTTTGATAAATGAACACTATGTAAAAGAAGTGGACATGAATGTCCATCCAACAGCAAGTGATGAAAAAAAAAACATTTGAGAGGTAACAGAGCTGATAAGGCTTTTTTTCCTAGTTGCTTCAACATGTTTCAGTGTAATTCCATTTTTCCACTTGTTTAGTGCTGTACTTGCCAAATATTTATAGAAAAAAAAATTGTAAATGTAGGCGGGTTTTTTTTTCACACCTGTCAACATAATATATAGGAGATGGGCTTTGTCTGTCAAGGCCAACCTTGGTTGAGAGGGATACAATGTCCCAGAAGTAAGACTGAGATACTTGAAAGAAATTCTCCCAACACAGGAATTGAATTTGAGTCTCCTGCGTGTGACGGCAAACTGGTCCAGACAGCTTGAAATGAGAGCAGCTTTGTCAGGCTGATTTGAAGGCAAATTCTGGTTTACAAGCATCATACACACACACACTCATACACACACATACACACACATGCACACACACACACACACACGCACACACACACGCACACACGCACACACACACACACACTCGTCCATATCTTCTTTTTCATATATGAGAATGCATTCCTATTTAGAGTGCAACTAAACAGAAAAGAACAAGATGATCTTCTCTTATAAAAACAATTCCCATCATATTTCAGATGTTCTTTCAAGTGCTGGCTCAAGTGGGTCTCTCACTTTTCTTCAACTCGGTGGCCACAAATGCTGTGATACGCTATGATGGTACACACAGCAAATTGTTTTAGGAATTTTTGTTAACTGCCTTGCAATTGTTCCCTAGTTTGTTGTTGAAGTATTTCCCCTTTGTACAGACTCGTTTTTCTTCTTAAAGTTTTCCAGTTTTAGTGTGTTCTAGATAGCTCTTTGTTTCTTATTTACTTCTATAATATTAGTTCTTATACCCACTATATCAATAAATATGATTATGAGTGTGGGAAAGGGACAAAGCCATGTATTGATTGATAAACTGGAAAAATCATCAAAATTCTTTGTTCTTTACTGTATATATACCCCACTTATGGTTTCTTTTAGAACTTTTGGCAAAATTGTTTATTCATAGTTGTGTGTCTCCAAGATGGCTAAGATTATTTCTCAATGATTTCTTGGGTTTGATACTCCATTCTGATTGCCCAGTCAAATCTCTCGGGCAGCTTTCTCCACTGCAGCCTTTTAGATGCACACTGCTGTTATTATTATATTGACGGCTCTGGTACGACCCATCGTACTCAGAATTTTTTTCTTGTGCTTAGTTTAAATAGTTTGAAAAACCCATATTACACCATTTTAATTTATATTCCAGAAGGCAGACCAGTGGGCCTATAAATGTGCCCAATATTGTGGGATCAGAGCATTCGTATCATGCTGCCAGTTTCCAGAAAATCAGATCTTTCCTTCGCTTGTAAAAATATATGTCTCAAAAATCGTATGGTTTGTGCCTGAGGTCATCAATACTGGACCTGTATAAAAAGTCTCAAATACTGTAGCTATGTGTGGTCACTGTTCTGAACAATAGAATAAAATCATACACATTGCATCTGGAACCTGCAGCAGGGCTACTTCAAGTATGTGAATGGAAATTGAAGCCATCACGAAAGCACTTGATTGGATGACCCAAGATCGCCCCCACACAACCCATGCTGTTCTTATTACTGATTCCATGCGTACCCTCAGAAGGGTCGAAAAAGGTTTCCTGAGAACTGAATGAATTCAAGTTATCGAAGCAACGCCTATACGATCACTCACTTGGATTTTCTGCCCTGGCCATGCAGGTGTTAGGGGAAATGAAAAAGCCGACAGAATGGCTGGTGAGGCCACCTCAGTTGACAGCATGGTTCAACCAGATAGGGTCAAGATTCTGAAATACCTCTCTCGCCGGCTGATTGAAGAGGAAGATAGGGAGGCAGAGGCCACTGCCGTGGAGAGGATGATGCTTTTGGGAATACATAAAGGAAGCAGAAAATCTGGCATCCTTGCAGGAAAGAACAGAAGAATGTTCAACCAGATATGCACAGGCAAAACCAGTGGAAAGACCCTCGGTGACATTTTGGAGAAAGCAACGGGGCATCAATGGACCTGTCCGGAGTGCACGGATGTTGCTTCCTGAAACAATTAACAATGACTGCTCTGAAATCAGGGCATTGTGAATCTCTTTAGGATAAGCCTACAGCGTTTTATGTAGTTGAGTTGGGAGTCATACTTCTTTAAAGTCTGATAGCGTCCTTCCTGACAAGGATTTCCCCAATGAGAATAATTTGAAATTATGAAAATACTGTACAAAAAGAACCTCTATTTATATTGCCAGGAAACTTCCATTTTTACAGATTTTTTTGCTTGTCCAATACTGACTTCTTTTCCTGCACAAGGTCAATGAACGGATATGTTTGGTCTGTGAGATATTGTTGACTAGATGATCTCATTTGGTTGAGAAATTCAATTTCCTTCTACTGTATGCTGATCAAAGCACGAGTTTGATAGCCTTCTAACTCTTAGTCACAGTGAAAATGTATAATTAGATGTTGTTCTGTCCTCCAACGTGTGTGTATTTTTTTATATGGAGTATGGACAATGGGATGAAAATGTTTCGTAATATGTGGACCTAGAGGGGACCTGATTTTTACCATGTTATTTGAGGGTTTTGCTCACTAAAACTGTTTGTATATCTCATGTTAATTTTCATTTCCTTTTTTTTTAAAGCAGAACCAAGATGTATCCTACAAAGATGGAAAAAAAACGTCCCTGTTTCCATTATAACATGCTGTCTTTTTATTTTTCCATGTTTGAACATTCTTTTCTTGTTTACCAGTATTGGCAGACCATGATGAAGCAAAGTCACGAGTCATCAGTGGGGCACAAATGTATCTCAAAGAGATCAGAACCAACACTATTAGTGTCTTTAAGCATCACAATAGGTAGGTCTTTTATTTCCATGAGTTATTTTGTATGTTAACTCCACATTTCCTCTGTCAGTGCACTTGTGGATTGTTCTGTGATGAAAGTTTATACATGTATATAAGAAGTATCACATTGTTATTGAGGAAAAAGAGTTTGGGAATTTGAGAAATAGGAGTTTGGGTAATAGAAGAAAGTTCACCTCATGACCCAGTGTATACAGTGACATAGGGAAACTTACTCTAACCTCAAGGAACACCAAAGAACCCCCCACCCCTCCCCCAGAAGAACTTGATAGTTTATGGTATTTCATGAACCCATCATATATCAGTTAGATGACAGCTGAAAATAGTTGGCACTAATACATGGTTTATAGTGATGAATTAACAATATCAGGATGGAAGGAAATGTGGACTCCCCAGTATTGGCCTTCTTAACCCAGTCTTTTATATCTCCATATTGGTTTGTCTTGGAGATGGATAAGCCATAGGTCAGAGGTATGTCTCTGAATTGTCCTTTTGTGACTGCCATTTGATGCAGCATTTTGCTTAACTGTTTACTTATTACATGCTCACATTTATGTTGCTGGTGTTTCAGGTTCATTGCTGATGCTGACTGGAGTGTTGTGGAAAAGTTCACAAGTATTTCCCACCCATTGCTGAGAAACAATAGCACGAAAGAGGTGCCTGTTGTTAATTTATATTTTTATGGTAATTTATATATGTTAAAGTCAGGAAATGTGCTACTTTATATTAAATATGTTTAACAGTAAATGCCTGTTTGACCTTTTAGCCAGACAAGTGTCATACTGCTGCAAATTATTGTTTAACTTTTAAAGAGGTGTCGAGTAACAAAACTGAAAAAGATACATCTTGAAATGATACTGTAGTTCCTAAATTTTATGTAACAAGAAATTAAATTTAATGATATTATGCGCTATCGTGTAACTGAAATTTTTAGTATGATGTGTGATTTGGTTGTTCATTTAGAGTTTTTTTTGAAGAAGTTACTAATAAAATTATGTTATTTTAGAAGGTGGAATTACAGTTTGATAGTAATAAATATAGTGATGCTTATGTGTATAATTGTTCCTGTTAGATGTTCCTGTTAGATTTTAAAAAAGTTGTTTATACAATATGTTTGTTTCAGAGATCTTGTCAAAGGGGAGATGTTCAACATTTGAATCAAATGGAGACTGCTGCTGTTAATCGAATTTTAATGCTTATGAAGGTAAACAATTATTTATCTTAAATCTGAATACTCACGATTATGTTGTTCCAGTTGTTGCTCATTGCATATCTGGATTGTATGAAAATATAATGCCTTTGAAAAGCAATGAGTTATAAGAATAAAATGTTTGTGAGATTTCTCTCTACGGTTGTCTGTGTTGAGTTACCTTTGCCACAATAAAGAATTTGTAAGACATAATGTTCTCTTAGAACTTTGGTTCTTACATGACAGTTCCTGTCGCTTTTTGTAAGTCTTGAAATTAAATTTCAAATTTTAATTTTCTTTACAATATAAAAAGTTTATATCCAATGAAATATTGGGAATTTCCCTTTCTTCAGCTGTTTTATTCTTTTGATGTAGATTTTGCATCAGTCATTAAGAGAGTTGATTTGTAATTTCTAAAGGACAAAACATCAGGGAGTTGAATCAGCAGTCTTTGACTTCAGCAGTCTTTAACTCAACTCAAGGATTTGTTGCTCAACTCCCCGAGAAGGGTGTATCTGTGGCAAAGACACTACCTTTTTTTTATGTTACGCCCAGCTGTGAATGGGGACTTGTAAATTGTCAGGGATTGAAATATCATACATGGTAATGGTAGTCTCCGAGTGCCAAGTAGTCTGTGATGCTGTACTAACTATGGGATACTAACTGTTAAGCATGAATGAACAGGCGAAACGAGGAAGTTATACAAAATTTAGTAAGAGCCATTGATCAGGAGGAATACAATAAGCCCCGCTTGCAAAATTTGTAAACTTTATTACACATTAATTTAGAGGATAGACACTAGAAGTACAGTTAAATCTATTCAAAAAGACCATCCATTGTTGAAAAGGAAAATTGCCATCTTAGACGGGTGATCCACTTGGATAGTGGCATTACAATAATATTGAAAAAATTCAACCGAGGTGATTGTCTTGGACAGGTGGTCATTAGAGCAGGTTCAACTGTATTGGAAATGTGTTAGGCAATATTCTTATTAATTGTCCTTTGAATCATTATGCTCTATGTATCTTGAAATATGAGCGCTTCGCCTTGAATACTTATGTAAAATACTTTTCCCTTCTTTTAACTCACAACATGCTACTATTTTGTTCGTCTGTGAAATAGTGTTCATACTGGAAGCAATATGAAGATGGTCTCGTATCCAGAGATGCCTTGAAGCGCCTGTTGCACTGGTCAGATCATGCCCTTGCCAGAGGAAGCTCGTAAGTTGTTATAATCACGCATGTTGTAAACTTTGTTGATCATATCTGTGTCTTTTTCAGACATAAGCACTGGTGATTATTCAGTGTTAAAGCTATTGACCCTGGTTGGTTTTACTGCTTTGCTATTCATCTTTTGGTTATCATCCTCTTATCTTCCATTTTCTTATCACAAAATGAGCATTATCATGTCAAGGCATGGATGATAGTTATGGTACTAATTGCCTTATTTGTCCATTGGTTTTTCAAAAAAAAAATTTTGGGTATCTCTCTTTCCTTTTACGTGTATCTCTAATTCCTTTTATGTGCTAAATCTGCAACTAATTGTGCCAGTGCATACCCCTTTTTCTTTGGTTTCAGATTAATTTTACCTTCCAGAATTGCCTCAGCGATGAAGGTTTCGCGATTTAACAATTTTTGGGTAAGTTCTGTATTTTAGACGAAAGGGGTGTGTGGGTGTATAGTGTATGTGTGTTCTGGTGGGGGGGTATTTTCCATGATGGTGCCTGTTTCTGTCATTGTTTGATGCAGTATATCAATTTGCCATTTTAGTAAGAGGAAACACATTACAGCTTTTTTAAAATCTCTCTTGAATTGACATTTGATCTTGTCTGTACCTATATATGGAAACACCTCCGCACTGAAAGAGTTAACATGCATAATATGCGAGATGTCTGAGATTTTTCATCTTTATGTGAGAAGACTACGTACTCAATCTTACCTACCTTGAGATCAAGAAGGAGATTAAGTGAGTTAGGGAGCGAGAGAGATTTTTTTCTTCATTGAGTATTATCACGAAACGAGGGTGTGGTGGTGGAGCGGTTAGTGCGCTCGTCTTCGAAGCGGAAAGTCCGGGTTCGAGCCTCGGTTCGGACACAGATTTTTTTCGCCCCCTCCTGCCCACCCAGCAGTCATGGGTACCTGACTTCGAGTTGGGGAAGTAAAGGCGGCGTGGAAAGGAACTAGCCACCCTACCACAATATGCTGAAGGCCCAGGAAGTTGTCTCACTAATAAGGCAATCCCCAATGTCCGGATCGGATGCAGGAACAACTTTACTTTACTTTATTATCACGAAACATATGATGGTTTTCAATTTCCATTTGTTCTATTCCCATTTAGCTCAGATTTGTAATTTCAGAGAAACCACCTGTGTGTAATGTCCATCTACAAATAGTGTTTTACGCCCATATTTTGCCTTTGGGGAAAATGGTACTAATAAGAATTCTTATTTTTATATTTTTCCAAGAGATTCTAGTGAATAAAGATTACTTTGTGTGTTTTGTCTCATGCCCCATTTATTCAATAGAAACACGAGCTGTGGGTGAACATGGGCTATTGGAACTACTTAAGCGTGAAGTCCAAGCGGCTACAGCATTGGGTGAGCGCTCCCCTCATATTGCTCCACTTTGCAGACACGGTTCTCTCTGTGAAGGCCGTCATGGAGGTGCTGTTTGTCCCCTCAGAGTACAGCCAGATAGTCCTGTGGTACTATAATGTCACTCTGGTCTCCTGCTATGCTGTTATTCTTGTGCTACGGGTGAGCATGGATTTTTTTTTTTTCGATTTTTTTTTTTCCGCGCTGTAATTTGTATTTTTTTAGGTAGTTTGATGAACTGTGGAGTAGTTTTATGTTCAATGTGTGAAATTTGTAAGCTACGGGTTTGATTTCTGGTTCGTCTAGGTATAATTTTGTATCTCTCGGAAAAGTATTTATATTTATTCACCCCCCCCCCTTCCCCCAATCTGTCCAGCTAGAAATGGGTAAATTATGATCAGCAGCGAAATAAAGTGTGGATGTTACTAAATACTGAAGTGGTAGTTACTCTATATGGAATGAACGTCTCCAGCCTAACAGCCCAAGAAGTTATTGGAAAGTTGGTTGAGTCTTTGGTTGAACAGTGTTTTCTGCCTTTTTCTTATATTACTGGATCTTCTTACTTTCTGTCTTTTCCTCAGGTTCTTGTGAGGAGGAAGATGAACTGTTGGGATGTGCTGCTGCTTCTCCTTGTGGTCATTGGCATGTTTGACATATTCTTTATGTGGATTGTCACTTCAGGCTCTGTCATCATTAAACTTATACACCTAGTTTTCATCTTGGCTCGCTTTCTCCGCATTTTCCGTATGGCTGAAGTTTCACCGGTAAGACAGTGCAGCCCGCCATATTGATAGTTTTTGTTGTGTCAAGAATATAAAACTGTGCAGACAAAGGATTGTGGTCTACTCTTTCCTAAAGCTTATTATTTCAGAATTGAGTCTCCTTCTCGATATTGTGATTCACATTCTTTTTAATAATACAGTACACCCATGGAAAATTGCTATTGTGATAATTCAATCTTTAGGCTGTTTACGTTTAGATCATTGCAGTAGACTGTTTCTTGGTAAAAGTTGAACAATGAACAATAAACCTCAGTGGACAAGAATAGGCATTTTAAAGTATTACAAAACTGAGTTTGAAATTTAGAAGACATGCCATGTCCTTCTGCAAAAGATTACTAAATGCTCTCCTGACCTGAGGTAATCCATCAGGTCATTCTTGATTTTTTAACATTTTTTATGTAAGCTAATAAATTTGGCTTTTATTTTATTTGCAAAGTGCTGAGATTGCAATGAAGTTTTTAAAAATTTAAAATACGCTAAGTTATATGTTTTTTGTCTCTTCATGTTTTCTTTTAGTTTTTCTTGAGGATCCTCATAGAAGTTCTGGAGATGCAGATGAGTAAAAGGCTTTCAGAAGGCTATGACATAGGACGCAGCTACATCAGAGGTCAACTAGAGGTGCTCAGGAAAATCAATGTTGTTGGAAAGGACTTCCCTGAGGATGTACTCGCAAAGTTTAAGCTTGCATGTGAAAGACACAAGCTAGAGACCATAAAAATGCTAGGTTTGTGTAATCCTTTTGGTCTTTACTAATTTTTTTCATGTATTTGATAAATAGTTTCTTGAAACAGCATCTTTGTCTAAAAACATTTCATATAAATCATTCCATAAAATTTCTAATTCAGAATTCAGTTGTTAATCTAAAAAGCCTCTTTTAGATTCTTGCTGGTCCTCTTTTGCATGCTTTCTTATTTTTAGGTAAATAGATAAGAAAACATAAAAGATCTCTCATATATACCTCAATTATCTTTGTCATAGATGCGGAACATAAAACTGAGTACGATGTTGACAAACAATGTCTCATTAAGTAAGTTTGCAACCCTTGAAACACACTGTGTTTTTCTGACTTCCTTTTGTGTCTCTCATTTTTTCTGTTTTGAGAGTTGTAGATAGAACACGTGTGTAAAAACTTCTCTCTTCTTATGTTAGCATAATATTTATATTACAAGGTATTATAGCTTCATCTGAAGCATTTACCCTTTAAATATGGCCTGTGTGAAAAAGTATACTTTGAATTGAATTTTAAGTAAGTTTCAGTGTGGTTCAAAATAAAACTAAGAATTTTTGTTTGTTTTTTTAATAGATTTAAAAAATTCAAACTTGCCCCTCCCCCTCCCCCCACATCATTTAAATTGTTTAAAAAATATTGGCTCGAGCAGGACAAGACATTTCACCTTGGAGGCTTCAGATGAGCAATTGAGAGCTTAAATGATTACTATTAATTTGATATAAGTGCTTAAGTGGTAATTGTAATTCATTTTACAAAAGTGAAATTTCAAAAGTGTATTGTGTATTATGTATGCAGTGTACAGTCGAACCTGCCCTGACGGCCACCTCTATAAGACGGCCACCTCTACAAACGACCACTTTCCTTTTCCCCCCTTGTGTTTTTTCTATTTAATTTAACTGTGTAAAACGGGCACCTTTCCAACACGGCCGTGGCCACCATATTTTAACACACAACCCCTATCACACTAAGCAATAACACCTGTCTTAGACGACCACCTTAGTGACTCCATTACGTTTTGTCGTTAATTGTGCATTGACCCCTGGCGTTGTGGGCGAGCCGTCATAATCTAATCACCTGTCGTTGTTGTTAGGTAGTCCCTCCAACCAATCATTTTGCGTAGGCCCCTCCCTTTGTTGACCAATAGGTACCAATTTCCAGCTGCTGGTGAGGGAAGCGTGTGATCCGTCATAACCCATAAGCCCCGCCCAAAACTCATACACAAATTGTAAGTGAGATGAGTGGTCACTGTTTATCCAGTCTGTAACAAAGTAACAAAGGACGTCAACATGAACTTGTGACAGAAGCGTCGCTCGTTCTTCGAGTGGTGGCGACCCATATGTTTGTTTTATCATAGCACTCGATCCTCCTTGCCTGACTTATTTCGTTTTATTTTCACCCTTGCACAAAATCCGCAACAAAATAAAAATAGCAAACAAAATACAAACCAAACAACAACAACAATAATGCGGCTACTTTTGATTGGGAATGAGGTTTGTTTTCTTCATCTTGATCAGTCCTGCCTAAGACGGCCACCTGTCTTATACGGCTACTTTTCTCCTTGACAATGGGTGGCCGTCTTACACTGATTTGACTGTATATCCAGGAATTGCCAGTTTTTAGTCTATCATTGAGAGAGAAAGAAGAGGATTTGTGTGTTTCTAATTTCTGATGTTAGTTTTTTAATGCTTCCATCAACACACTTTAGATCATTTAGAAACCAGACTTTGACCCTACCTGTCAGGACCAACCCAGGGTGAAGGAGATACGGTATCACAGCAGAAAGACCAATGGACATACTTGATAAAGTTCTCTCCTCAGTGATCGAACTGAGGTCTTCTGTATGTGATGAGAAAAAATACCTAACTGCTACACCACAGACGCCTATAGAGTCTGTGTAACATAATATGTGATTTGTGCGTGTTTGTGATCATTCTATGCATGTTTGTGTTTGTGTATCTATGTTTGTGTGGTTGGGTTGGTTTGGTATAGTGCTATGAATTTTTACACTGAGTTGTAGAAAGTGATCAAATCAGTGTTATTTTTTTCCAGTGGAGGATGAATCAGGTATCTCTTACCTTCTCTTTTTTCACCCAACCTTCAGGATGTTTACAGCTGGAACACCCCACTGTCTCAGCCTGTGTGAAAACAAAACAAGCCACAAGAATTGTCCTGAAAAGTCAACTCAATCTTATAAAAACTTTGCAGAAGTCCCGAACAATTTCACATCAAGATGGAGCAAAAATTGAAAAGGTAGCCTATATATAGATTGGTCCCCATACTAGTTCTTTTACAGCTGAAACATTACCTCAAGTTGAGAATTTTGGTGATTCTGATTACCCACGCCTTTTAATTCCGTAAAATCTTATGGATGAGAGTTATTGAGTAGTAGATTTGTTCATTATTGTTCATTGCAGGGGCTTGTTAGTTCAGATGAAAAATCCTCGTCCCTTATGTCAAAGTGTCATAGATCTATCCCACCTTGATGCAGACATCAGAGGTAGTTTACTTATATTTTGTGCCAGGTTTTCTAACTGCTTGTAGCATGTGGTTGATAAGTGGTCTGATGTGATTTGCTCTTTCTTTCCTATTAAATATTGATATTCCTTATCTCTCCTCCTTCTTTTCTTTTTATGTATCACTCTCTAGTAACACCACTAATCTTTGGCTCCCATATGACCTTGCAAGTGCCACAAAACTTTTATCCAAACTAAAGTAAACTGCTCATCCCTCATTAGAAGGGCTCAGATACTGCGTGTTCTGGGATGAGAACAGTCAGCTCCGGGATAATTTATGCACATTGGGCTAGTACTTGTTAAACACAGTGTGATGCTCAAAACTTTTAGATGAGTAAGTCTATTACAATCATCTACTAAGGTGAAGTGCTGAACCAGTGGCTGCCGAAGCAAAAACTTTTAAAGGTTAGGGACACTACATTCTATTCTGAAGATAGGCATTACGCATCGAAGTTTGGTACACCAAGGTTTGAAAAACCTGCAATGGACTAGGTTAGATCTTTTAGGGAGGAGGGGCAGAGTGAAAAAAAGAAGTAAGTGTCCTTTGGAACTTTGATTTCATTATGAGTCTCATCTGTCAACAGATAATTGAAAAGAAAATGGCTGAAGTCATGAACTGTGTCTTGAAAGTACGGCTTCCAAGCATTGACCAAATTGTTGCTGCTGTGCCCTGGATAAAAGAGAGCTCTGATGTTTACCATTTATTTAAGGTATGAAAAGTCATTGAATATGGCAGGTTTTTTTGTGTTTTTCCCTACTGATTCTTTAAGAGTACTTTTCTGCTGGCTCGCTGTCCCCGTTCCCCCCCCCCCAGCTTTTCAGGGTTTTTTTGGGTTTTTTTACACCCCCATCCCCACAGTTTTGATCAAATAGGCGAGTTTTGACCCAGCCTGTCAAAGCCAAATGGGTTCAGAGAGTAACAACATGCTGTTCAAATTTCTGTATTTGTAAATAAATTGTCGAACACATTGCCTCAGCTGCCTTTGGATGAGTTTTTAATCAAGTGTAATCTGTCCTCTTGCTCTTCTGTGTTTGAGATTTTTTCTTATTGGTTTATTTTCCTAAGTTTCAAGTGTAACTATTTCCTGGTGGCCTATTCTAAATCCGATTCTCTGAACTTACCAAGCTAGACATTAATTTTCCTTCTCGGAGAGGTGAAGAAGCAGTGTCACTCTTGAAAACAAATACTGAAAGAAGCATTACAAAAGCTTACCTATAGATCTCATAATTCTAACAGCAATGCCACATTTTGATGATAGTATAATGCTAGTGCCCATGATATTGATGCTGATACCGTGATACATCTCATGATGTGAATTTATGTATAGGACAAGGGCAGACTCATCTACTTCTCTTATGGAGATCTGATTGTTTCACAATTGTGTCTGCCAGGAGGAATATTCATTATCCTTGATGGAATGGCGGTGGTAAGTATGGTGCCTGTGTTGTTTTGAGAAGTGAATTTAACTGTTTGAGTTGACAAGAAGCATATTGACGAGGCTGGTGTCATTTAGTGATGGAGAAAAAGTGAGAGAGACAGGAATGGAGGAGGTTTTTTTGAGTTACAGATGGTACAATGATGGTCGTAAAGTGCTGGGTAAAAGTGAGACAGATAGACAGAAAATACAAATAGAGATATATTCATTTGTAGTGGCTCCCTTTTACCAAGTGTTGAATGGTGAAGAATAGGAAGTACTTGTGACTTGGCTTTGATCAGTCTTAACCACAAGGCAACAGCAGAGCAGGGGAAAATACTCAACTCATTAATTAATGTGATGCTGTTTTTCAGCAAGGAAACAATGAGCTCTATTTTTTTAAATTCCGGTACTTGAAAACATAACAATGAATTGGTGTACTGCTTTTGTTGAGAATTCTTTCTTAGCAGGTTTCTTCCCTTGGGCCACCAACAATTAGTATTTTTGCCTTCATTGAAATGTCCAATGCAGATAAATTCAACCCAACGTTTACCAAAGATGAGTTTGTATACAGGATCATATGAACACCTACTATATTGGTGCTGGGCTGGATTTATCTCAAGCTTTACAACTCACCAACATCACTTCCAAATTAATAATTTGTGCAGATTCAGAAGGAGCTAAACTTTTCATCCTGTGGATCCAGTAATAATCTGATCCGATCAACCTTCTTTATTTATGAACATTGGAGCATGGGATCAAACATAACAATGGAGAGATTGCTCTATTGTGACGTAAGGTAGGCAATCCAAATAAACCTTGGAGTTTCTCTAACTATTTGCTTTGGCAAATGTCATTATATTACTTGTCTGAACATTTGACTACAGTTATAATCATTAACTCTTCACCTTTTGGAAATTTGCTTATTCAATGTTTTTGGGAGCTTTTTGAAATCTTAGTTCTCCGTATTTGCTTAATATGTTGATTTGTTTCTATTGTTTTCTTTCAGTCCAAAAGAAAAGTGTTGCACTCCAAGAGGGAATCAGTTGAGGTGATAGACTACATGGTTAGTGGCAACGTCATCGGAGAATTTTCCTTTCTCACAGGAAAACCTAAACACGAAACCATTAGTTGTGAAACAGATATGTGTGTAAGTTTTCCTTTTCCTTTTTCTCTCTATGTATCCAGCATAATGTATACATTATTTTGTTAGGCAGACACATTTGAAGTGTAATGCAATGACAGTTTGTCTGATTTAAAGACATTCTTATTTGATAAATTTTACGAGACTCTAATCGTCACATCAAATAAGGTGTTGTAGTATCATGCCATCTGTCATAATATTATTATGTCTATCTCTTTCACTGAGCTACAACTTCAGTCCAACTCCTTTTCTTTTTCAGTAGTACATCAAGTTTTTCTTAAGAATTGTCATGGGCCAGGCAAGTGCATTCATTACTGTCTCACAAGAGAAACTGTAGGAGGCTTGTTTCTTATCCTTGTTCAGTTGCTCCTTGATTCTTATGACAATTCACGTGGTCATACTTATTCTCGTGACTGCACATGGGCAGATAGCACTTTTGTTAATCTGCTGCAGGACTACAGAAAGCTGACATAATCATTCATACATACATATACTTGATTGTGTATATTTTCAACTCATGGGGGAGAGCTTAAATCTTTATCTCCGAGGGGAGACCCACTATGCCAGGGTCCTCTTATGGAACAAAACCTAAAATTGACATATACGTCACTTACTTAATCATTAAATCAAAACAAGTGAACTTATTTCTGTAGTTCTTCATCTAATGAATTAACTCCATGTAAAACAGACCTGTTTTAAAGGAATTTGACGTCAAGTCATCATAAAAGAATGTGCCCAAGCCACTGCTAGCGGCTCACCAGCACAGTGGTTCCAACCATGAGCCGCTGGCAGTGGCTTGCCGGAGATAAGGGGTAAAAATGTTGACATGAAAGTCTGGCTACAGTAAGTTTATTTTTATAGGCACAGTTCCAAGTTAGAGTGTGTTTAACCGAAAGTTGATTAAACTCGTTATTGTTTGATTACAATTCTCATTGTGTTTCACAGTAAAGCTTTTTTTACAAGCAGACAAAGTTCCTGGTCAATATATTTGTTTTCTGGAGAATAATTTGAAAGGATATTAGGGAATATGGGTTGCGAGCGCTGTAAAACTCTTACAAAAATAAAACAAAAAAGGGAAAAAATATGGATTCACGATATGTAGGTTTGGTATTGTTTACATTACAGTATTATCAAAATAAAAAAAATATTTGGAATAAAGTTAACATGATTATTTTCATCTTGATACATGTTAAATCACTATTTGATGAGGGTTTTTTTCCACTTTCAGGCAATTTTCATGGCTGAGAAAGATCTGTCAGCTCATATCGGAGGCAAACCAAGTGCATCAAATGAGAAACTCTCAGAGGTTGAAGAAAGAATGTGGAAAGTTGTAGCTATGAAGCTGGCATTGCGGTATCTGTTGAGAAAATCTGCATGGCTTGTAAGTATTTCAGCTTTCATTATTTTTTTTTTCAGAAATATATTTATAAGTACATTGGCTCTCAATTTTTTTGTATACGTATAGTAATTACTAAGAAGTACCGTCAAAATTACCCAAGACGGTCTATTGTATTGGTGATTGTCTTGGACAGGCGACCGTTAAAAGAGGTTCAACTGTAATTATAAGAATAGAAAAAGGACATTTGTAAGGCATTGTGGTGAAATCAGGCACTCGTCAATATAATGTAATAGAAGAAACTGGCATTTCTCTGCTAGTCTAGCAATTTTTATAAAATTTTTGTTTTTTGACCCAACACCTTTTATGTCTGTTTAAAACTTCTCTCCGTGTGAATTTTACTGGAAAATGTTGATTGAAGGCACAAAAAAGTCAATTTTCAATTTCCAAGGACTTTAAAACTTTGGTGGCCTTTTTCTTGCTAATTTTACCTCTAAAACTAGGCAACCTCCACCTCCTTCTATTGCAAATATCTAGACCACCATTCAGATATATGGGTATTTTTTCATCAAAAGCAAGACAAATGAACAAGTCTTTAGATGATACCAATAGCTTCACCTGCCTAAAAATTAACGAGTGCCTGATTCCACTGTGTTGTGACTCGTACAGATAATACTGCTTCCCTGAATAGCCTTAAAATGATAACTGGATAAAACTGTTTCCTTCAAGTGCCCTATATAGTGACAGGATGAAACTTTTTCCTTTGATTTTACGAAACAGTTGCTCAATGAAACTTTTTTCCAATGATTTCCTTGAAATTGTAACTGGGTATACTATTTACCTCAGGTTTTCTCTAAATTGTAATTGTTTTCCTCCATTTTTTCTCAAAACGCCAAAAATGTTTTAACTTGAGATCTTTTGCAGAGAATTCAAATTTGGGATCAGTTTTTTTAAAGTGTATGGTCAAGGCCACTTTTGGGCCATATTTCTGGCAGACTTAAGTGTATAGAGTGATTTTAATTTTGAGCAATTTCAGGACGCTTCAAGTGTCCTGCTTTGAGCAGTCTGATGTGTTGACATTTAGTGTGTTAGTGTCTGTCAATAACCTTCAAGGCACCCAAACCCCTGAAATTTCAGTAGTCATGTTCTTCAAAAATTTATCTCTGTATGGAAGCCAGAAGTTGTAAGGGTGCTCTGTAAGCTCAGTTGGTATCAGGCTGAACTACAGAGCAGATGGCCCTGGTTTGAATCTAAGATATGTTCTTGAACTTGGTCCTATCGGAAACGGCTGTACTTGCAGTATATAATTGGATTCTGGAATGTAAAATGTATGGTATAAGCCACAAGTAGATGTATGAATAAAAGATGCCCATTGTTAAGAGGAATGGTCATCTTAGACAGATATATGGTCCTCTTGCACAGTGTCATAATATAAAGAAAAATGCAATGGTGGAATGGGAAGTGGTTGTTTGTATAGGTGATTGATTGTCTTTGACAGGTGGTCATTAGAGCAGGTTTGACTGGACATGAATAAAAAACATTTTGAGGAAGTAATTAGTTGAGTGTGACTTTGATGTTCTCAGGTCCTGAGTCAGAGTGAAATCCTGATGAAGCTGATGGATGCCACTCTGGTTGATGGGAAAGCAGAGAGTCAGTCCATGCATCAGTACTTGCTGCTCACAGATCTGCTCCTCATTCATGGTTGTTGTTTTACTCTGTTGACAAGATGTTGTAATCATGGCTGACTAAACAGGAGAATGGATGTGTCATTTGAATGAATCTAGGAGAAAATTTGTATCATTTAAATGTATCCAGGAGAAGGGTTATTTATACTATTTGAATGTATCCAGGAGACGTACAACTGCTTGCTTTTGTGTCTTATGCTAGTTGATGTTTTGTTAGAGCTAGAACTTTTGTGGGTCAAATAAGAAAACATACAAATGTTTTATACTCCTGTTGATACAGTGTAGATAATTTTGAAGGGTAAGGGCTGTGGCCCTGCCTGTCATGGCCAACTGGGTTTGTGTAGAATTTATCCAGGTTTGATTTGATACCATCTCTTTGTAAGAACTGAATTCATTTCCTCTGCATGCAAGTCAAAGAGCCAGGCCTTTACTCTACAGAGACTGGTAAATGAAAAAAAAAACAACACTTAAATACAATACGACCTGTGTCACAAAAGTTGAATATCTTTGTAACAGGGAAACTTCTGGATCACACAGTCAACAATGTCGTGAATGGTCCGGCTTACATTTCACGTGGATCAAAGCCTTTTACCGTTGTGGTGAGTGTACACACTTTTACATGGAACTCACATGTGCAATTGTGAACTTTTGCTCAGCTATGTTTTCCATCTGAGAGATTTATCAATTGTGCTGTATCGTAAATTGTAGCCTTGGTCTTTCCTTGAACGCATTATTTTGATGAAAATAGCTGTCTTGTACAAGTGGTAAAATGAGTCTTTGTATTTTATGTTATGAAATGGGTTTTGGGTTTTTGTTTTTCTTGTTACTGATGCTCTTGTACTGAAAAAGAACATTATTGTATGCATCTAGAAAGAATATCTCTCCGCTTCTCTCTTTGTTTCTCTAGATCATGCCTTATTTAGGGCTGCGTAAATCTACTGATTTTTCAGGTAGTTACCGGTTTTGGGCATTCAACCGCCATACCGATATAGGGGTGAAAACCTCCGGATTTGCGATGGGTGCCGCAAGTAGAAGAAGAAAAAACAACTGTTTTGCAGTTTCAAATCTTCGCAGTATTTGCGGAAATCCCTACATTCCAACAGTTCCGTATTTGCTGCATCATCATATCAACTCCATGCGTAAAAGAGAAAGAGAGACAGTATCAGTATTAACTAGATCTATAAATCGCCGGGACCCGGGAATGCCACTGGAATTTGAGGAAATCTGTAAGTTCCCCCCGCAAAAAATGAACAAAAGTCCTCGAAACCAAATCCCAAAAGGTCACTGAGCTCATAGTTTTATTATTTTACTGGAACTTTGCGTTATTGATTATGTTCGGCTTTCCCTTGTCCGAGAGTTCATTTCACGCGAATAAGCGGCTGTGGAGGCAGGCGCAAGATGTAGGTGTAATACCAAGACTCCATCGGGAAAATCAAAATCTACTTTCTCTTTTGTTACCGCCCCGAACTGTCCGATGATAGTTTGTTACTGTTGGGTCTACAGTAATGACATACAGTTTGTACTTTAGAAACACTGTTTCGCCATGTCGCCATACAATAAAATCAATATTCTCACTGTGTTGTCTAATGAAAAACGAAAAGAAAGAAAAAGAAAACAAGCGTCCTCCAATTTCTAAATCTAGATTGTTGGGCCTGTCATTGTGACCCGTCAGTGAACCTGCGCCAGTTCGCATCATGTGAGTACGGCCTCCGGTGCGGCATGAGTAAGATGGGACTGGCGGTTGTTGGTGTCTTCAAAGTTCATTCAAAGTAGGAGCATTGCAGGGCTTCAGAATTGGGTTGGGGGGGAGGGGGTGGTTGACGGAATACAATCTACGGCAGCAGGAGAAGGCCACGGTGCAAGAAACTGATGCTGAAATGAAAACGGTAAGTGGAAGTGGTGCTCTTAGGTTTTGACATTCGACAATCGAGTGCGTTAATGAGGGAATATATTAGACTATTAGAGTACTGGCTTGGTGATTATATTCAAGATTGGTGTTCCCGGAATGGCTGGATTTTTCAATGATGCGATGGCAAATTGAATAGTGGCAATGAAGAAATGACATTTTTAACCCTCGGAAAGCTCTAAATTTCAATTTATTTCGGGGCTTCGCCCCCGACCCCCCCCCCCCCAACTGGACCTTGCGGAAGGCCTATACTTGAGGAAAATAAGAAGAAAAACATCCTTTTTTTTTAAAGATGTATTTGAACTTACTGGAGGATAAGATCTGGAAACTAATTTTATCATTAGACTGCATTTTGAGGGGAAAAAAATCAATACTTGATCAGTCACTATCCCATGCTCTCAGTCCTTTCAGCTCCAGCTCTCTTCTTATTTCACCTTTTGCTCTGCCGTGAGCCTAACTATAACGGTTTTCTCAAAATAAGTTTTGTCTTGCATGCTTTTAAAAAACCCAATCATGGTTTTGACAGTTGATATTCTGACCTCGACACAGGCCCAGATCAGGATTTATTTAGCATTTTTAGAGCAAAACTAGTTAAAATTTTCGGTCATACCTAAGTCACACAGGATTTATCAGTGCCGTATTCTAAAGTCGGAAAATGGGTTTTAATATAGTTTCAACTGGTATGGGCTAGGGGTTTTGAAGTTAGTTTGGCAGTCACCCTACCACTTTCCATACTGAATAACGGATGCCTTGAACGATAGTAAATGCTTAAAACACAAATACAGAAACAAAACAAAATTTTGCCTCATTTCATCAAGTTTTCGAAATATGATTATCTAAATATCACAGAAAAACAAGCCCTGTTCGATGGTTACTATAATGTGTACCCGGGCAACTTTTTTTTTCCTTCTTTGTCTATATACTACCATACTACCTGATTTTGGGCCAAAATATCTGAAAGTGACCCTGAGTTTACCTGAAATGGGGACTTTGAGGTAGGCAGTCCTGCTTATTGCTAATGTGTATCCTTCATTGTGTCCATTATGCATTTCTGTTTTATTCTAAAGAAAGTAGGAGATGGCAAGTGAACCTGCTATTATACTACTCAGTAACGGGTTGTTTTTTTTCATCATTTCAGGATGCGGACGTGGTACGTCCTATCTTCCTGGTGCTGCCCCCAGAGTCTGAGCTAGATGAGATGAATGTAGAGCTGAACAGATTTCTACACTCAGAGGATGACACAGAGATTCTGTGTGATTCCCACAGCGATATTACTTTTTCTTCTGGTGGTTCCTCAAACAACCCACTGATAGGTATGCCAAGGTATTCCAAGAAGGCTGCCTCTGCCGTGGTAAGTATTATAGAGAAAAAACTTAAGCTCCTTATATCCGTCAGGCCGCTCCCAGGGGCTCGTTGTTGGAACCAGTGCCAGTGAGCTGCTGGCAGGGGCTCGGGCACATTCTTTAATTTAAGACGACTTCAATGTCAAATTACTTTTAGGCAAGTGCAAAAAACGGGAGGCTAAAGACCTATCGAAATAGCTTCAGTTATTTGATTTAATGGCCAATTTAGTGACGTATATTTTAGATTTTAGATCAATTTTAGATTTCGTAAATAGTTAATATTCTTTGTACATTGTTCAAGATGTGTATTGACAAATAAATATTAATTATTTTTATAAACAACTGAATGTGGTATGCAGATTCTAAATTCTATAAATATCATGATCTGGCTGTTAGTAAAGTTTCCAAAAGCATATTTAGAACATTGTTTTTAAATACTATTGTATGTCAGAAGTCAATCTCTTTGGCAAGAGTTTTCAAACTTCAGAAAGTCCCCTGTAGTTCTGTTTAGGAAGAATTCAGCTCAGACATGTTCTAGTCTTCTCAGAGAAGTTTCCATATCAAAAGGGGATTTCTTCAAATTGAACCCATGTACCTAAGACTTCGCTGTACTTTATCCATGGCTAAAAAAAAATGTTACCAGTCAGGAATTATATTTCTGAAAACTAGTGTGTGACATTCTTGAAGACTTTCATACAAAAATAAAAACTTAAAATTAAACCTCTTTGCATGCCTGTTGCTGGTTATTATGTGACCTTTGTATTGATTACACCTGATGTATAGTTTCATCTATGAAATCTAACTTGCCCTGTATCTTCATGGAACCTAAGGGAATAGAGATGTGCTTGGGATGAGAAGAAAAGCAGGAGGAAGGAGGCAGATGTGATGGGTCTTACAATCTGGAGTATTTTATAGTTAGCAAAACTGGATACTCAGATTTTTCATCTTTTGCCCCTCAAAGGAATGTGCACACTCAGTCCTTTATTCTAATGCAGCTAATCTGTTTATATTCAACAAAATTTTTTTGAATTCCACAGGAGTTGTGGAAAAGCGACTTTGGTGATCCCCATGAAGATGATAGCAGAGGAAAGGGAAGAAAAGGAATACGAATGAGCCCTTATTAGTTATGTTGTGATTTTTCACTTAATAATTTACTTTGTTGTTATTATCCACCCAGTAACTGCTGAGCTTGTGTACAAGCATTTTGAATCTTTAGGATAACAAAGGTTGTTGTAAAATATTCGAAGTAAAGACATTTTTGTTTAAGACTTTCGGCCCCCCCCAAAAAAACTAGAAGAAAGAAAATTATTTGCTTTTCAAACTCATTTTTCCCCCTTTGACTTGAAATTGATGGGTGTTTTTTGTTGTTGCTCGTAGCTTGTTTCTAGTCACTGTAACTTATGCTTACTTTTTCTAAGGACACCACACATATGTATGCTTTGGTGTGATATAAGGTGTTGGAGAATGTTGGTCAGAATGAAAGGATTTCTGTAAATCTTTTGCCACTTAGTCGTTTTTTTATATTTCTTAATGTTTTTGGTTTGGTGGCCTCCGCTTTTTCCTTCCTTGCATTATTATTGATGTGACAAGGTGTTTACTGCAGATGTTATCTTTGGTTTGGTAAAGAGTTAAAATGACTGATAAGCTGCTTCTACTAAAAAATCAAAATCCCTATTGAGCATAGTTCATCTGTTATTGGCTGTTTCTTTAGTGGCTTAAAAAAAGTACATTTATCGATCCAACATTCACAGGTTGTCACTCCTTGAGTTCTTTCATCCGATGCCTTTCTAAGAATGGACTGTGGAATGTAAAAAACTTGCACTTTTCTTGGATTCATCAGTTTTGTGAAAGGTGCCTGTATTTACTTGTTCATGACAACATCACAGTTAAATGAGAGCTGTGATAATAATATTTGGCATATGTATAGCACTCGACCCAGATTGAAGTATACAGGCTCAAAGCAATTAGTTCTGATAAGTTCATGGGATTGTGACATCACTTTGTTGGAATTTGAAATCTTAGTTTACTTTTAAGGAATGATGAAAATTGTTTCTTATAGTACGGTCAAAAGTTTGTGACGCAACTTAATTTGAATATTTTCTAAACTACCGAACATTGACTCTCCAATGACTTGTATCAATTTATCTTAATAGATCAACTTTTTTGTGTAAACACCTTTAGCTATATTCTAGAAAATTCCTTTGTACTTATAAAAAGTCAAAGTGGATGGTCCCTACCGATTTTAAAAGGTTTAAACAGCTGAGGCAATATTGCTCTTAAAAGCAAGTCTGTCATTTTTTTCTAATTGTGACACTGTCTTTATTGAAAGCATGTTTTGAGAACCTTTAGTGCAAAAAAATGTGTTCACTTGAAAATTAATTTCGCATAACAATTTTTGCCACTAAAAAGTGTCATTGGTGAGCTGTGACGTAGGCCATATCATATGCAAAATGTGTGTGAGAAACGGGGGGTGCTGTGAACAATGGAGCTTGTAGTATTTTATATAAATTTATAAAGAAAAGTTTTTTAAAATCTAGCCTCAAAATTGTTGTGGAAAAATATGATTATGTTAAGACAAATAGATACAAATTGTTGTGCAAAATATGGATGACGTTGATTTACCTGTTCAAGATATTTATTAGGATAAGTTGCGCCACGAATTTTTTACCAAGCTACAGTGATCAACCTGTTCCAAAAGGCTGCATTCATATCTAGCTGTGAAAAGTTCTAAGCACCAAAATATCTACAGTTTACAGCTCAGTAGGCCCCTACCTAATTTTTTTTTTCTTGACATGGAATCTGAGTTTGTCAACAGCTGTCTTCTGAGCTTCTATGAACTCTGATACTGAGAAAGTCAAATGATGTTTTCTTCCATAGCCTTTAACATAGAATGTGAAGAGAGTAGTACAAAAGTCTAATAAGAAGTACGGTGGAGTCCACTGAAAATTAGGTAGGGGCCTACTGAGCTGTAAACAGTAGATATTTTGGTGCTTAGAACTTTTCACAGCTAGGTATGAATGCCTGACTGCCAGATTTTCTTCAATATAGTCGTGTTTTCAGTTTAGACTGGTGAAACTTCAAAGAAAAAAATCAGGGATTCTTAATCTTATATTTTCTTTCAATTTACCGCTGTTTTCAGACAAACAGTGTTTGTTTAGGCGGAGTTCACTGTATGTACCAAACTTTGCTGGCCTAACTGACTGTGATAATCAGTATTACTTTTGTTGAGTTATTTGATTTGAGCGTTACAGAAATCCTGTGATAGATAGTTTGAGGTTTAATCCTTTTTCTAAGTTTTGAATATTTGAGTTCTATATTTATGTGTTGTGATATGCTTTGAGGTGACTTATGCCTGTTGTACCATCACAATAAAATATAGAAAAGCACCCTGCAGTTCTTGTTTTGTCCTTTTTCTTTCATTGTTAATGAGTACAGACATTGAGCTGTTTGTGTTTGTGCCTGTTAAAGTGTCAGGGGTGCTCCTGGACACAGTAATAGCTTCTTAATGTTGGATATTTCAAGTCCTGCTAGACATGATTTAGGTCACTCTGAAAACACACAGAACTTGGTTCCCCCTCAGGACACTGGTTAGAGATAAATTGTCACTCTGGGCATTAGTTAGTGTAGGGTGAGAGGAAATGTATTTGTAGTTTTAGTACAAGTCTGAATGATCAGCAACATCTTGTGAAACGGTATAGGTTTAATGCCCGTATCAACACTATTTGGTCATTTAAAAGGCGGGACCTCTGAGCTTAATGTCCATCTCTAAAAGGACCAGGCCAAATGGAATATTTGTACAAAGCGCCTTTCCCAAGGACACGTAAGACAGAGCTGAAGCTCGAACCTTTGAACCCACAATTTCACGATTATGGGTCCTGTAACCTAACTACTAGGCTACTGATATCACTGCAACATCTAGTCATGAACAAATTAGGACAATAGCTACTGTGAAACAGTATGTTTGAAAACCACTCTCACTAAGGTTCACTGCACAAAAGATTATTTAGTATACTACAAATTGCATTTAGCTAGGAAGAAGAATTATACGTGTGTCAGTGTCATGACATGGCACTCGTCAGTACTCGGGTGTTTGAAGTTATTGATATAATCCTGAACCAGCCTGTTCATTTTCCTTTTATATGAAAAATACCTACCAGTACAGTACCTATCTTGAATAAATGTCGCAATATTTGTGATTGAAGGAGGTGGGGTCTCGTAGTGTTAGAAGTAAATTTAGTAATGGTCGCCAAACTTAGTTTATTTCCAAAGCTTGAGTGTCCTTAGAAACTGCAAATTTACATTTTCTGTTCCCTTTGTCAACTTTTTAAAGCAAAATCCACCCACAGAAATGTGTATTAAAAGGATATACAGTCAAACCTTGCCTGACGGCCACCTCTATAAGACGGCCACCTGTACAAACGGCCACTTTCCATTTCCCCCCTTGCATTTTTTCTATATAATTTAACTGTGTAAAACGGGCACCTGTCCAACGCGGCCGCGGCCACCATAATTTAACACACGACCCCTATCACACAAAGCAATAACACCTGTCTTAGACGGCCATCTTAGTGACTCCATTACGTTTTGTCACAAATTGTGCATTGGCCCCTGGCGCTGTGGGCGAGCCGTCATAATTCAATTATGTCGTTGTTGTTAGGTAGTCCCTCCAACCGATCATGTTGCGTAGGCCCCTCCCACTGTTGACCAATAGGTACCAATTTTCAGCTGCTGGTGAGGTAAGCGTGTGATCCCTCATAACCCTTAAGCCCCGCCCAGAACTCACACACAAATCGTAAGTGAGATAAGAGGTCACTGTTTACCCAGTCTGTAACAAAGTAGCAATGGACGTCAACAGGAACGTGTGACAGTAGCGTCCCTCGTTCTCCGAGTGGTGGCGACCCATATGTTTGCTTTAACATGGCATTCGGTCTTCCTCGTCTGATACATTCCGTTTTATTGTCACCCTTGTGCAAAATCAGCATCAAAATAAAAATTACAAACAAAATACAAAACAACAACAACAAAAACAACAACAATGCGGCTACTTTTGATTGGGACCTCAGATGGGAATGGTTTGTTTTCTTCATCTTGATCAGTCCTGCCTAAGACGGCCACCTGTCTTATACGGCCACTTTTCTCCTTGATAATGGGTGGCAGTCTTACACAGGTTTGACTGTGTAAGGAGTTGAGAAAAAAAAATGACGAAAATTACCCAATGGGCGGAAGAATGGTAATATCTTTGATTTCATCCTTTTGACAAGCCCCTGATTTCACCGCAATGAAACACATATGTCAATAGCAACACAAAGTAGAAAGAGAAGAAACTAAATACACCAAAGCACCCGAGCATTTTCATATAAGTAAGTCTTTAAAATAACTTGAACAACAATAATAAATTATTGTCACTACTTTAATATCAAAGAATAGAAGTACAAGAATTAAAAACAACAGAACCAATTTAAAAAAACAATATTCACTTCTTCAATTCTTAAAACAGGAAAATATCCTTGTATGGGAACACAAGGAAACATGTGTGTGTAAAAAAGAAAGACAGAAAACACTCAGTCTTTGAAAGAACATTGTGCACTTAGAATTTCCAGTAAACAGTTATGTGTGTTGAGTGACCCTGTTTACCTATCGCTCTTGTAAGAAAGCTTACACTTAGTAGAGCACAGTGTTGTTTATTATTATCTTTTTGGTATGAGTCTTAATAAATGCATAATGCTAACAAAAACAATGCGTATTTATTTCTTTGTCTCTTCCCCCAAAAAGCTCACCGTAAACCCATCTCTTACAAATAATTTTTTCCTGAACTTTTTGTGTTTAGATCCAAAAGAAAAGTTCCTTTGTCTCAGAAGTTGGCACCATTCATTAGGGCCTATCATTTTCACACACAAAAAACTAAAACGATAAAGATTCTATTGCGAGACAATACTTCTATGAGGCAGAGACTGAAATAAGTCTTCAAGGCTTTTCTTATTAGCACGAATTCAATCAACATGGGCAAGAAAGCAGGAGCCTTAACCCTACAGACCCAAGAGCATGCCTAAGCATGTACTGCCCTTAACCCTTTTGCACACCAAACTCATACTTCAGTCAACTCAGTGTGCAATCCTAGCAGTTAACCCAAAAACATTTCAGTGCATGATTCCTATGGGCTCAGGGGACTAGGGGCTCGTAGAGTTAAGGAGGTATCACAGGTTTCATTGTCAAAGGGAAATTAATAGCCTCAGTGTTGTGCTGTCTTGGATATATCATGAACATGTTAGCTATATAAAAATCTGCTTATCCGAGTAATGTGTTTTTACAGACTAAGAAGAGTATGATTGTTTGGAAGTAGTTTGCTAAATCTAACTCAGTATATGTGTGTACTGGTATATTACTATTGTAAGTCAACAAGGTTGTACAATAACATTTAAACAAATATATTCTTCCGTAATAATTAAAATAGACCTTTATTTGTTGATACAGTTGTACCAATGTGAGACAGTTTTCACTGGGCCTATGGTGATTATAGTCAAGGACGTTTATAGATAACATAGATGATCATAATTTGGAAAGAGCAATGTTATCCAAGGCAATGAGTCAACTTATTTTTAAAAAAGAAAGAGATAAAACATAAGAGTTTAAATTTTAGTGTCCTTTGAAATGTTTAAAAATTGTCTTTCTTTAGTTTGACATGCATTTTCCTTACCTCTTCTTCAAACTTCAATGCCTAACTTTACAAAACCTTCTTTATTGATTCATTAACTTAATATACAATGAAGGGTTGAAGTCAATACAAAAGTTGCTTTTTCTATAATACAGACATTTTTACTCCCAGCACTCTGGGCTTCCTACAGAGTTTACCTGAACTAGGAACAGAAACTGCAAGAAATAATGTGGATATTACCAAACAACAAAATCATTTAGGCCCCTACCTGTAAAAAAAACCCCAGACATTTATTACTCAATTCCCCAGCATTACTCAATTCCCCAGCATAGTTGTGAATCATTATGCCTTTCAATCAAGTATTTTAAACAGATGTATTTCAAAATCTTCACATTAGAAAGTTCAAACATATGAAAATGCTCAAAGCATTCAACAATTAGCCACTGTATGGTGAGATAAAACGTTTTATAAAATTGTCAATCATTAAACATCTCTTGATATAAAAGTAAAGTAAAAGGATATAAATATAGACTGCAAGAAGAAATGAAAATGGTGAGAATGTAAAAAAACGTAAATTTGTGTTCATGAATTTTAGAAATTGATGCAACTGTCAAAATTGCAAATGTGAGAAAAGAAATGAATCTGAAACATACAATATGTAAATTCTTTAAAATATAAACCATTTAACATTTCTAGTAAATATATTTAAAAAATGAGCATATATATCTCATTATGCATGGCATGTTATTTCCATTCAAGCAACAACAGTACAAAAGTACCACAATTAAATCAAATAGATAATTATCTGTAACAAAAAGAGTTACATTTTGATTTCTTTAAAAAATATTAAGTTCAAATGGACTGACCCCAACATTTCTTGAGACGATATTTTGCTGAGATCGGAATAGTTAACAAGTCCAGAGAGGCAATTGTGATATTGTTAACACAATTCAGTTCATCAAGGTAAACTCAGACAAAAAAAGAGGCACACAGAGTAAGCCTTTCAGTGGTGCATTGTGTCTTTCTCAGCATACACCACCATGTGCACAAATGAAAAGTCTCTCTCAAAACTTTATAACATAAACAAATAGCATTGATGACATTAATAAGTTGATGTGCTCTCTAGCTCTTGTTGAAATGTTTGCTATCATGAAATTTCAATGTAACAAGACAGAACAAAAAAAACAGCCCAACTACAAAGTATATTTTCTAACACAAAAATTAAAAAACCATCACCAAAACTAGTACTACTAAACTGAACATAGGAATAAAGGTAAAGTCTCTTCACATGACAAAACTTGAACTGAACGTTCAGTATAGTTTCCTATAGAGTTCTTCCAAGTACCACACTTTTATTAAGCTATCTATTTCAGGATGTTACTTATCACTGGTGGGGCCTGTTGAATAAATAAAAAGGGCTATAAAAATGTTCCAGATGTCGGTTATGCCCCTAACCTTAAGAATCTGTTTTACCCTTGTCAAGTATGTGACACATGTCAGTCAGCATTTTTCCATAAATGTGTGCACTTCCTGGTCTTAGGAGAGGCTAGAGAGTCTCAACATTCAGTGAGCAGATGATCTTGTTTGAACCCAAAGCTTACATCCTTCTCCGGCAACAGGAGTGTTACCTCCTGAAACATTTTCCATTATAAAGTAAACAATACTTGTTTTGAGTGCTGATGAAGGGTTAAGATCAAAAGATGCAGATGAGTAAAAAATATGTTCTTTCACTTACAGAGTTATGGAGACAATCCCCACTTTCATATTCAACAGCAGCACACACGTTATTACAAAGAAATATAGTACCTCCGCTTCTCCTTCTCTTCTCATTTCCCTCACTTTACTCTAAAGAAATCCAACAATTCTTTTAACAAACATGGCAATACAAAAAAAGAGTATTCAGTAGAAGAGACAACTGGCATAAAGCAGAGAGTTTAAAACATAAATTTGTAAGCAAAGTCACCTTTGTCTCAATAGCGTTTTACTTAAACTATGCACCTTTCTGTATTTCCTAGGACAGTAGGCCTATATGATATCACAGCTTCATCAGTTGGTACATATTTCATGTGTATATTTCATTATGTTACAGTCAGAACTCCTTGGGCTAGCCAGAAGATTTATGAGCTTTTTTTCTCCTCCACTGGAAGTGCAAGCTGAGGCGGGCCAAACGGATCCACCTGTCGAGAAAATGTAAAGGGAAGAAGAGATTTAGCTACTCCTTTATAATGTATGGAAATTTGGGTTACTCTATCGGGCTATAACCGCACATTTCATATAATAATATACAAACCAATAAGTTTCAACATCTCACAAGGTACAACTGTTACATCAGATTTGTAAGCATGTGTGCTCACTTACAAAAAGCAAACATCCACGTGCCATACAAACACACAGTCATGTCATAAAGACAAATGGAGAGATAGACAAAAAGAAATGCAAACAATTTAAAAGATGAAGGAAGTGACTTGTAGCTGGGCAGATCAGACAATTTAACAAATAGAAAAGCAGAAAGATAGTCATCAATACTGGTAAGGGAGGAGATTTCACCAATATTTAGCTTTTTTATAGATTGTAAAGAGAATAGAGCATGCTGTTAAGCAGGAATTTGCACTATACAAATACAGTTTATTATTGTTACTGTTGATATGATTCAGCAATAAGCCAAAAACTTACATCAACTTGTGGGTTTTTCTGTACATCAACGATAACATCTGTGGCACGGTGGCCATACTGCTTGCGTGCCCTGCCCCAGTTGGCTTTCACTTCTATGTTGACCTTTTGGTTTGTCGGCTGCAGGAATGATTTCCCCGTCGAGACACACAACAGCTGGTCACGCTGGACTTCGTCAAATGTTTCAATCTGTTTAGAAGCCAAAATGTCAGACATGAATAACTGTGAGTGACTAAGATTTTCAACTTTGAAAAAGGATGAAAACATCAAATTCTACGAGTTTCCTTTACGTTTGCTTTTCCTATTATTTATTGAGCAAAAAGAACAGAATTCCAAATTGTTATAGGTGTAACCCTTTGACGTCAAACATGTGTGTTATTAGCTTCTAATGTGGAACAATGCATGAAGGCAAAGATTTTTTATTCTATCTGGATCCACAAAAGAACACAATAATAAAAGCGATCTTTGTATCTGAGAGTGGTTAGTTTCATTCCTCCCACAACAATTTATTTCCCTAGTAAAGAGATGGTTTATACATTGAGGGACCGCAAAAAAAAATGCCAGGTTTTGTAAAGAGTGGATTTGAGCAAGAGTCACCACAATAAAAAGAGGTCAAAGGTACACCTACTAACTACTCAAGAATAAATATTATGCTAACATAACTTGAATCCTTATAATAGAAATGGCCGGTCAAATATTTTAAATATTTAAAAGAGAAACAAAATAGTTCTCTCCATAGTATGAAAATTCACCGATGCCAAATTTTCATTTCTGAATTTTCAAAATATTCTTTTTTGCAAAAATGAGAATCCACACTTACCCTTTTGCCATCCAAGCTGTAAAGAATTCTAGCTTGTTTCCATAGGCCTAGTTTCTGAGTAGCACTTTCCAGTATTTCATCAATATTTTCTCCCCATACGTTCACACATCTCTCTGCTGTCTCTCCATTGGGGTACACCAATACTCTTTTCTGGAAAAGGAAGACCCATCATTTAATACTATGATCTGACCATTTTTAAAAAGGATAACAAACGTATCAGATAAATTACCGTAATATTATTATTTTGTTCATTTTGGTTGGGGGGGGGGGGGGGGGGGGGTTAGCAAACTGGTATTTGAATTTGAGAATAAATTGAAAACAAAGTTTAGAAAAATCTAATTTCTATAGAAGAAAAATATAACCAGAAGCACTAGAGGGAGTGTTTATGATATCCTTATATTCTCCTCAATGCCACACAAAACATTCAATCTTAAGTACAGAAGAATAAATAGTGTGAATCCTTAGATATAAACTAAATTTGGCAGATTCATTGAGAGGCCTACCACAAATTACTTCAAAGTGAATATTGTCATCACAGTGACTTCCAAAGGCAGAACGATGTAACTGCACATTTCACGATTTTTAAAAAAAGCAGCAAAAAACTTTTTACGCTTAACCTGTCATAAGTGATGAATGCTTCTAAACAAGGTTGCGATGAAATATAAATTCATCATCCCGCCATTGACAGTATGGTCGAGATCAATCACATAAAAGTTGCTATTTCAGATGTAGATATGTGATATTGCCTTTGACATAAAAAAGATATAATACAAGCCAGTGTAACAAATGTATGAAACTAAAAAACTGGATTTAGTCAGATACATCACTGCACCTTGGGATAACACAAAAGTCCTTTTTATCCATAGAAAATATCAATCACGTCAAAATGTCAAAAGAAAAAGTAAGTAAACACTGCATACCATATTTGGTTGCTGATAAAGTTTGCTGTCAAAATTAACTCCAGTGTGCTCTGACTTCCTGTCCGACTGATGCACTCGAATTTCTCCAAGATGTATCTGCAAACAAACAACAAAGGAAAATTACTAGTAACTACATTATAGAGAAGCTTGTAAACAAACATGGACAATGAATACAATGTTTTTAAGTTTCCATGCTTAAATTATTAATTATATTCAAAATACTTTCGTAGAGTTTAACAATGTTGAAAATTCCAAAGAATCCTACAGTTTTTAAAATTTCAGATAAATCAAAGAGCACAAAAAGTTCTGAGGAAAGGTAAAATAAATTTTCCTTTTAAAAAAAATAGTTCTAGCACTTTGCTATTCAAATATAATTGAGAGAATGAGAAGCAGGTCTACCTTAAATACAAGACAGTGGTCCAACTAGTGAAGAATAAGACAACAGAAGCATTTACAGCAATTCACAGTTTCCAGAGTTTGAACGATAAAGACTACCATCTTATAACTTCACTCCTACAGCAACTAACATAACAATAAGTGATGCTCTGAAATAATTTATTAGAAATCACTTTATATAGGCCTACAATAGTCAGCAGTTTCATTGAAATGTTAAAAAATGTGAGGCGTGCTGACAAAATGAGTAACTTCTTGCAATCCAAGAAAATGAGATTTCGGCCGAAAATTGACACTGGGGTCAGGTTAATAGATTTTAAATTGATGTCATTTTCTTCAAGTCTACGGTATCTTTTATTATTCCATACATACACATTGTACAAACTCCCCCTATAAAGTTGATGTATCAATTTCCATTTAGGTTGAAATCTGAGAACTAACTCATTTTGTAGGCATACCTCACAAATATAATCTAAGCAGCTTGAGGTACATAACCAATAATCTGCTGTCCAACCAACAGACGATACAACAGCCATGCTTTGGGGCAGGGAGAGGGGGAATACCACTCATACACCATATTCTCTCTACCATAAGGCTTTCATCTTTTCTTTAATCCAACGCTGCCAAGCTCTTTGTAGTGTCAGATGGTCCAAAATTACAAAAAGTAGAGCCGTAAAATCCCACAGCATGAGGCCCACTTCGGAACTTAGGTATTAAGTGTCTTGTAAGGTAGTAGACTCATATAAAACCAATGCGAGAAAAGTGTGTTAAAAAAGTAACAAGACTACAAAATGATTGTCTTCTGTACAAGTACAAGCAATGAGTTTGACTCATCTTCCCCACCTGTAGTTTGTGCACAGAGTGGTGCTTGTCTTGCTCCTCCACCGATGGCTCCTGCCAGTGTTTCTCGATGACCACCGGCTGCTTGCAGCTCAGGGTCGACTTGTACACACCAGGCTCCATCTTCTCAAGACGACGACCCTTGATCTGCCTCAGTACATGCTTGTCCATGTCTAGAGCCAGGCACACTTGAGCTCTGAACTGTCTCTTCTTGCGTCGGTTTTCATCCTTGGACTCCACCACTGTAATTTTATGAAATGGGTATTATGTTGAGTGGAAAACAACGGACAAGAAATTGAACAGGGAAGGAGATGGAAAAGCAGACAGTGATAAAGGCAGTGGTAAATGAGAAAGTGAGAGAGGGAGTCAAAGTAAGAAGGACAGACTCTCAGATATGGTTTATCTTACCTTACCTTACTTTACCTTATCTTACCTTACCTTACCTTACTTTAACTTACCTTACCTTAACTTACCTTACCTTACCTCACTTTACCTTATCTTACCTTATCTTACCTTACCTTACCTTACCTCACTTTACCTTATTAAGAACCTTATCTTACCTTACCTTACCTTACCTTACCTTAACTTACCCTACCTTGTTTTATCTTATCTTATCTTATCTTATCTTATCTTATCTTATCTTATCTTAAATGAGAATGACATTCACCTTCAGGAGACACAAATGCTTTGTTGCTGGAGACCCAGACCTCAATCGGGGCGCGGAGGATCACGTCCAGGGGAGGAAGCTTGATGTTCTCCAGGAGCTGCTCTCTCTCCCTTTTGATTTTCTGAGCTTCTTCCACATCCAAATCTGGAAAAACATGATATATCAATATTACGCTTATGTCAATACATAATGTTGTATGGAAGGGAATTCTGCAAAACAACAATTTTGCTTTTCAGTTCCCATTCAGATGGTGCTGACTGGAATCTATGGTGCATGGGTCAGGCTCTCGCTTGCACAAACAGGACCAGTGTTTGATTCCCACTCGGGGAAAATAATTCATTGAGCACTTCCATCTTTCTGCTTTCCTGCTATTATGTATCTAACACAGCCCTGTTTGGCCAAAACAAGAAGAAGCCCTCCCTGATAATTATTGTCTACGGGGGCAGGAAAAAAAAAAAATCAACAACAGCTTAGCTCGAGAGTCAATCAAACTGACCTTTCTGTTCTGAGTCCTCCTCATGCTGCTCAGAATTGTCTTCTTCCTCTTCTTCTCCTTCCTCTCCTCCTCTGCCTCTATCTTGGCCTCTTCCTCTTCGGTTCTCTTCCCTGGGTTCAGCTCCAATGATAAGGTCCAGGGACCGCCTCATCTGATTGGTCACCTCCTCACTGGCTGCTTTCTGCAGTCGTTCGAGTCGTGCCATTTCGTCTTCCTCCTCCTCCAGTAAGGATTTGTTATCTACCAAAAGTGAATGTCTTATTAAAATCATAATATCATCCAGTGAAATAAAGCAAATGATTGAATATCTGTGGTGTAACTTAAGGCTGTTTGCTTTGTACATGGAGGTGGGGTGAGCAGCCTGCCTCCCAAATTAACAGTATGGGGTCGGCGGGGATATAAAAAGCATTGATAACAAATTGATACAATAAAAAAAAAGCAAAGAAAATGAAAGCAGACTGGCAAGAACAGCACAAAAATAGCAGTTCCCCTTCGGCTAATTCAAACTGGATGAGGCCTACGCCTAAAGCAGTAAAAACCTGGAAAGTTAGTTTTCATAATTATTCAATTATTACTTTATAGAGTCACTAGAAGGAAAAGAAAATCTTCACAATTAACCTATAAACAGGACAACATAAAAATGTCTGCACTGAATGACTTTAAAAGAAATTTGAAATTTAATTTTAAAAATCTATAAACATGACCCATTAGTCCTTATGACATCTGACATGCTGATATTTAAAGAATCCAATTCCTTTCATCACCAATCAACTTGGCATGTCAGAACAGTTTCATTAATTTGGCCCCCGTTTTTGTAGAGGCAGACATTCAATCAAAATTCCAACATTATAAATAGCCTATTGTGCTGTTAAACAAATAAAAATCTAAACAGTGTACTCACCAGCCTGTCCACCCTCTCTCTCTGCCTTGTCCAGTAGAACCATGTTGATCATCTCATTCTTGCAGTTGTCCACTGCATGTCTGACCAGGTCATCCACATCCAACACCATCTCTCCATCCTCTAGATACATCCTACGTGCTGCGTTACTCATGCCGAGGCGGTGAGTGCACTGGACCAGAATCTGACAGAGAAAAAAGGTTAGAAAAGGTGGTGGTAATTATTATGTAGTTACTCATCATTCTCAATTATATAAATTGTGCCAATGGGGCCATAAAAATAATCTATATAATCTTTAAAAGAGAAAAAAAAAATTAAATAGGCACCCAAAATAAGAAGCAAAGTCTCAATTGTTGGAGCATATTGCTTTTTAAGTTCTCCATTTTCTTTTTTGTCTAAAGGAAGGTATTTTACACCCCTATTGACACAATCAAGTTCTTTAAATAGAATAAAATCAATTACCAATTTTTGAAAAAGGCAGCTGGTGAGAAGACACTGCAACTGAGGTACATTCTTAAAGTGGAAATGGATCAAGAAGTAAATCTCTTTGTCTATCACAAAGAAGGCATGGATTTTTTTTTCCCTTGGGGATAACATTTCATTTAGTATTTCCTTTTGTCTGCTGGGTCGTACCCTATTCCCACACAGCCCAGGTGGGTTTGACAGGCAGTGTTGAAGCATCCCTCCTCCTAAATTGTGTTGAAAGGGGCATAAAAAATCAATATTATTAATTGCAATGATTTTCTAAATTGTCTAAATCTGATTTCAGGATTTCTTTTTCAGCTTACTGTTTCATAAAAGTCAGCAATTTGGTGAGCACAAAGTCAATTTCCCCAAATTATAAAAGTCAAACCTAGAAAGAAAAGAAGGATGCAATTTGGAAAAATAAGAGAAAGATAAGAAAACTGCATACTCCTTCAATACTGGAGCCACAGATAATCTCCCCTCGTCTCAGTCGACCTTCTCCGTTTTTGTACACCATGACCTTGACAGTGCGCACACTCTTCGCCGCATTAATCTCCTTGGCTATTGTTTGCACACTGGTCTGTTTCCTCAAATTGTCCAGGGTGTCTTGCCAGAACCTTAGAGTAATGTCTGCCTCAAATGTGGACAAATCGACCTTGTTGTTCAAAACCTTGAAACTTCCTGCTTCTTTAATCTTGAGTTTCTTCGCTGTAAGTAAAATGAGACAGCAAAGAGGCAAAAGTTATTAAAAATAAGGCTATTTAAAGACAACATATAAAAAGACCAATTGTGAGGCGTGCTGACAAAATGAGTTACTTCTCGCAATCCACAAATGGAGATATTGGCCAAAAATCGACATTAGGGTCAAACTTGTAGGTTTTCAATTGATGCCATGTTCTTTAACTATAACCTGACTTTTATTATTTCATACTTAAAAACTGTAAAAACTTCACCTATAAGCGTGATGTGTCTATTTCCTTGAGGCTTGAATCTGAGAAGTAACTCATTTTGTCAGCACACTTCACAATTCAAACATCAGATTAGAAAAGAAAGCAATTAAGCTACCATTAATAACTTGATCAACAGTTCCAGCAATTCAATACTTTTACTTTTATTATTTCCAAAAAATTTAGAAACGACATAATGTGTTGATTGCCACAGAATTCATTAATCATAAATTGTATGTCTCATGTGCTACAATACTGTAATCTACACGGGACAGAGAATGACCAGTCCACCAGAAGTGGAGAAGAATACAAGGCCTTTCATCTGAAAAGACAAAATATGGGAAAAAAACCTGTTACTTTGGCTGTTAATTTAAAAATCAGACAAGACTCACCCTCTCCCATTGCGCAGTGGAAGTTGATGCTGTTCGGCAGCTTCTGCACCTTAAACCGACCTCTCATTGCCCGGGCACAAGATATACACACTTTGTGCTCAGTGGTGCCATGCTGGGCACTGGGTATTTCAACAATGTAACCCTGGGGAAACATTCGTAAAAACAACACATGAGTTTCATGTTTTTAACAGGTGGGCACGTTGTTGTTTTTTAACTTTCAGAAAGGAACCTTTACACCTAAAAACAAAGTTTCCATAAGAAAAAAATTGCCAGAGCTGTTGATTGACAAAGTGTGTGTTGTTCTTTTACAATGGACAGGCTTTTGTTAAGTGTCAACTTGTTGCATGTACGTGACTGTCAGGTTGTGACAGTTGAAGTTGCTAAAAAGTTTTAAAAGAAAAAATAAACATATTATAGCTTCAGGAAAGTAACCATATATTAATGTGCCTTGAAAAGAAACATTATCAGCTTACCGGTTGATCAATATCCACTTTCTGAGCAATGGAGTATGTGCATACATCTGCCTTGTTGGCGGCAGTAATTTCTGAAATGTGAACAGAACAAGGAGAAATATTGAACCATTTTGAATAAGATAAGATAACATTTTATTGACCTCCTCCACAAAGAGAGAAATTTGATGTGGTATTGTAATGCGTACATGCACGTATACAAGTCAACACACATTCATATACAAGTCAACACACACTCACACACACAAGAAGCAATCAAAAATATTTCATATATTTTTTTTTTTCAATTTGACACAAAGATGATATCAGTGGAAAACATGATATAGAGCAATAAGCTAAAGTAACTCCAAACAAAGTTATTTCAGCAACCCTCATATGAGGAGACGTCCCAGTCTAACATGTAAGGTGATGGACTCTAAGTTCAATTCTTGGCTCTTTAGTTTTAGTTTTTAATAAGCGTTTTATGGCACTTGCAACACAATAAGGTCATATAAGTGACGAAGAGTAGAGGTGTTACAAGAGAGTAACAAACACAAAAAAGAAGAAGGGGAGATAAAGACGATAGACGTTTGGTAGGAAAGAAGAAGCAAACCATACCAAAGCACCCGCACACCACCCACATTCTTGGCTCGGTTGGATAAGGCGTTGTATTATTAGGAAGGTTACCGCATCTTATTTTCTTCAGTATGTCCAGTTGCAAATGGTTACTAGGAACTGACTTTGTGTTGCAAACAAAGACACATGTTTAATTCCCATACAGGGACAATATGCAAATGCGATTCTCAGTCTTATGGAAGAAACACATCTCATACAGCCTGGGTTGGCCCTGACAAACACGAAAACAGCAGCCCACAAAATCAAGGACTAATTCTTGTAGATGCAAGCGCAAAATATTTACATTAAAAAATGCGGCCTTACCTTTGTCAGGCAACTCAGCATAGAAGGCTTGGAGTAGACCTGTCTCAGCATCGTATCTCCACCTCTGGTGTGCTTTCCCAAACTGGTTGGTGCGGCGGGTCTGGAGGTTCACCGGACATCGGTCAAAAGACAGCGGTGTTGGATAATCAGAAGCAGTCGCTGGCATGGACACTGTGAGCACCAGATGCTGATTCACCCGTGACCTAATTTCTCTGTGATATTTAAAAAATAGAAACCAAATAAGAAGGGCAGCACAACCTACACCACTGTGAGTTAACATCAATGAAACATTTATATGTTTTTTAAGAAGGGGGGGTTGGTAATTTTTTGCAAACTATAGGCACACACCAATGGAATTAATGACCGACTGGACATTTGGGGGTTTTTTTGACAGGTAAATGCCTGATTTCATACTGAGGGGATAGATGAAAAGTGATAAAACTTTGTAATAAAAAGTTATAGAGATTCAAAAAAGATGTTCAATGATTTTTTTGAAGGTGACAATATATATTACCCAGTCTCAGTAATAAACCATCTTTGGTAGATGCAGTCAGGCTTGCGTTTGGTCAGTATCACATCTGATGTGTGTCCTTCAGCGTCTGTGGCAGCGACAACAAATGTCCGGTTAGACTGGACAGAGATGAAGCCGTCTTCAAACACAAACCTTTGCAATGTGTCACGGGACACTCGAGGAGAAGCCTGAGGCCTGGGAAGTAGAAGTTCCAAGAACAGACAGGACATTAGTACAAAAAGAACACTGTCTAGGACAGCTCGCAACAACAATAACAACAGCAACAATAAATAAATACATTATCATATAGAGTATACACGGAGCCATCAACAACAAAAACATTACAACAATGACAAAACCAAAACCAAAAATAACAACAACAAAAGCAGCAACAGTGACAACAACAGCAATAACAACAGCAGATGATAAATTAGGAGGAGCAGGAGGAGGAGGAGGAGGAGGAGGAGGAGCAGGAGGAGCAGGAGGAGGAGGAGGAGCAGGAGGAGGAGGAGGAGGAGGAGGAGGAGGAGGAGAGGAGGAGGAGAAGAAGAAGAAGAAGAAGAAAGAGAAGAAGAAGAAGAAGAAGAAGAAGAAGAAGAAGAAGAAGAAGATTTCTATAGTGTCCATTCTTCAATTAAGTTCTAGGGCTTTATGTCATCTGATCTCATCTCAAGAGGTCTGCTGGGGTAATAATATACACTGTAAAGGGCATAGAGCTTGCTGTTGTGCAGGAATTTACACTGAACAAATGCCATTAATTATTATTATTATTATTATTATTATTATTATTATTATTATTATCATTATTATTATTATATTGTCTCATCTCATCTCATCCCATCTCAACTCATCTTACTTGAACTTCTCATAGAGGTCTCTGTCTGTGTACTTGTTGGCCTCCGGGTCCTCATTGTCCATGCTGTTGTTCACGTTCACCAATCGTTCCCATGGCCACTTGAGTGTATTCATACGCTCCTCAGACCTCAGATGAGACTTTTCATGAGCTGACCTGGTGAAAACACACACATACAGACATTCGTTTTCAAATGAGTATGAGTTCAGTGCCCTGTCAGACTTAAGCATTTCAATTTGAAGACAAGCCTCATCTTGTGGGGGTTTGTTTTTTATTTAGTATTATGGGACTTGCAACTCAATTAGTTCGTAAAAGTGCCATAGATTACAGGTGTCACAAGAGAGTAACAAACACAAAAAAGGAGAAGAGATAAGGACAATTGGTCAACAGACTGGCATTAAAAAGAGCTGGAAGAAGACAATCTAAGTACAGAGCAAAGTTACTACCCCAACACTAGGGAAGGGCAGCGTACATCCTAACACTAACAGAGAGAAACTTTCATTCCATGTTGTTGGGACAGTAAGTTATGAATATGAGCCTTTGCCAATAGGTGGGGATTTCTTCATCTATCTAACAAAATCCTTTCCTATTCCAATAAAAAGGGTGCTACAGCTTGGAAAATGTTGTAAAACGTCTCGTCCTTCTACAAATTTACTACAACAGAAGTAGATTATTTTGGTGCTATATCAGGAATAATTATATCCGTAGCTGTTTTTCTCTGTGAGCCCTTTTCATTTTCAAGCGTAACTTGTGTAATTTCGCAAAGCAACTTCGATTCCCCGTGACTTTGTTTCTATCGCCATTTTGGGGCCCTGGAACAAGCATAATATCGTTCAATGTTTACTCTCTGCCCTGGCTAATTTCGAGGCTGTGACCGTGCGTAATTTTGCAGTAAATAAAAATCCTGCAACGCCTCATGCTCTGTCATTATTTGTTATGCTCGAAAGAACAAATCAGAAAACGAGAAATAATAGGGGTGGACGAACATGCATTGTTCCTGTCGATCCATTCAAAGTGTATTGTTGTGCGATGCAAGACAGCGAGAAGAATCACGATGGATCAGATGAATTGAATTAAGTTTTCTTGGGTCATCATCAAATTTTAACATGTTATGTAAAAAAAAAGCTGTTGTGTCCGAAAAATGTTTCCCCCCATTTAAATAAATTTAAACCAAGTAATATTTAACATCGCAATGCGTTCTAATGATCAAGTAGTGGTAGATTTAGATGCAACCACGTGTGCTTGGCATTTGATGTAAATTGATGATGTGTTCCAAAATGAAGACGAACATTTATCCATTATGTGTCATCGTAGTTATGTTTGAAAGATATTGGGTATTTTGCATAGAGTCATAGTAAAATGCGAATTAAGTGGCATTTTTTCACCATTAGCATGCATTATGAGTCAAACTGAATCTCTAGAATCTTTATTTGCCAAAATTTTCAAAAACTGAAATAAAATATGAAAATGGAAAGTTTTTCATTTCTTTCGGACATAGCTATGATGACACAAATGTGAACACAAAGACATTCAGAATTTCTTTTTTCTGTGATTTTATATTCTCTTCATGTTTATGTTTGAATTAAAGCAACGAGAAAGCTATTAAAATAATTTTATGTTCCATAAATTACTTTTCAAGGTTAATTTTCATTTTATGTCATCATGGTTACGTTCGAAAGATATTTGATATTTTCCAAAGATTCAAAGTAAAATCTGAACAAAGTGGCATTTTTTCATCATTAACATGCATTGTGAGTCAAATTTAATCTTCTGAATCGTTTCTACAGATATTAACATATGAAAATGGAAAGTTTTACATTTCTTTCAAACATAACTTTGATGACACAAATGCAAACACAATGCATTCAGAATCTTTTTTTTTTCTGTGATTCTCCCCATTTTATATGCTCTTCATGCTTATGTTTGAAAATTAAAGCTATAGGAAAACTATTAAAATAATTTTGTATGTTCAAATTCTACAAAATGTGTCATCATAGTTATGTCAGACAGAATTTGACTTGATGTTAAGTAACGCCAGTTACACAGCTTAGCATGCCGTCTGAGGGTCTGTAAATACATGTTTTTGAGGGAGGAGATATACATCAATAGAAAAATTCAAGTATAAACAAAATATTAAAAACTTAATCATCAACCCTCTGTGCTACATTTTAGTTACCCACCTATTGGCAAAAGCTCATATATCCTTCAGCCAGATCAGGCTTGTGAGTATTACATTTTGTCAATCTTAACATAAGGATATAAAGGTACAAACGACAAGCAGTCGTACTTATCTGTTTATCGATCTCTTTTCTCATCATTCCTCATTTCATTTAATCTTCTTGTCTATCTTACAAGACTTTTTATTATTTCATCTTCATACCTAATTTGTCAGTCTTGTTCTGTCATAATCTACTTGTCATATTCTATTATTCAATCTCATTATATCTATTGTCTAATCATATCCTGTATTCTTGACTAAAATTATAATCTGCTCACATCTTTTTATCTCATTTTATCTTTTTATCATATCTTAGTGTACTATACCTCATGTTCTTATCTGATCTCAGTTCATTTTTTCAAAATTCTATTTATCTTGTCCAGTCTTCTATTATCTATTTGTGGTGGCCGAATTTTGCTATTCAAAAGGCTTTTTAATGGCTGCATCGATCGACATGCGGTTTTCGCCAAAAGATTCTTTAAAATATTCTCCAGAGCATAACGCCCTTGGTTTTTTCAGTTTTGAGACAGTTTTGCTGCAAAAACCTAAATTTGTTTATTTTGCCGATCGCTTTTGTAGGCCGACGCTTCTGTCTCTGTAATTTTAGAATATAGAAGAGATATTCCGCGAGGCACATTTTGTTTTGGGGGTATAGATCTAGACCTTATAATTTTTGGCATCTCTCAAGATTTATTGCCCCATTCCAGTAGAGTGTAAATATATTAGGCCAATGACTTTTAGTTGATATTAAAGCACCAATCATTCCTTTCATCGAAAGGGGGCCCAAGTAGTTTTATCTAATCTCATCAGTCTAGATTTACGTACAGGTCCCTGGAGTCCTGCTCTGTCTGTTCCTCCTGATCATCCACATCGTAGTTCATCATCTGTGAGTTGCTGCGCTTTGTGCTTGCCACGTCACCTCTGTCCTGGCGATCCTCATCTCCGAGACTCCACTGTTTGTTCACCACCAGACCACAGCCCAAAGCCAGAGGTCCTTCCATCTCCAGCACATAGTCTGAAAGGAACAGCAATCAGTCATGTTAATAGTTGCATTGATTTCTTTGTATGGTCTTCTACGATGTGGTGCAGTGTGGTACAAAGCAGTGTGGTGCAGTGTGGTTTGGCGTGGTATGTGTTGGATGCACCTTTTAAAATAACTTAAGAGGAGTGATCTCTAAATCAAACATGGATCTCTAACAGGACCAAGTCAAGAGCATAATGTGCCATGACAACTTTTCTAACAACCAATAAAAATTCAAGAATGCCCTATTACACATCTGAATCAGGATCATTCTCATCGTAGTCTAATATGGTACCAACTGGGCAGATGGTGAACCCCTTAGCTTATAGGTTAATGTCAAAATACACTTCAGAAAGAGCAATATTGACACAATTATGGTACAGCTATCAGTCTATCCATCTGTCTGTCTCTTTTTTCAGAACCGTATTTATTTTGGCTGCTCAGTATTCAGCTTGTTTGTCTGACTATTCTCACAAACACACACTGCCTAGTTCTACGCTTTTCTCATAATTTGCTTTCATATTGTTTATGAACATGCAAAAAGTCATTGCGAGTTAGCAGTGATTTCTAGTTATTCGCCATGATAGTGGCCAATTTTCTCCGATTGTAGATTTTGACAATGGCAACTGCAAACAGAAGTACTTGTAGCAGATAAGAAAAAGACCATTATCTTTTAGATTCCCTCCACTAAAAGTCCTCCTTTATGGGAAATACTATATATCAAAGATTGTTAACAAGATATGTCATTTTATAAGAAAAGTGCCCTCTGTATTATAAGTGCAATTAAATATATGGATGTCGCCCCCTGGCACTGATGAAGATATTAACCTTCATTTCTCAAAAAGAAGTCATATAAAGAACAGCCCCTGCTCCTACTTTTTGTATGTTAGAGACTTCCAATGCACTTTTACAAATAACTTTGACGATCAGAGCTTTTGAGAACCTTTTGATTAATAATACATAGGGCCTACAGAGGAGTGACCATCTTAGTAAAAAATCTCGGAAACCATTCAGGTCTGTGCATAAAACATACTCTCTGGATTTCTCAGTGAACAATAGTGCTGAATCTTGGCGACATCGGTTGCCAGCTGAGAGAGAAGAAATCGCCTCTTCTGTTCCACTTTCGAGAGCTTCGGGTCGGACCATGCCTCTCCGCAGGACACGTAGATTAGCTGATCCCGCTCCAGGGACTGGAGGGTGAAAATTTCAGTGCCCTTGGCATCAAACAGTCTCCTCGCAGCAAACGGCAGGTTCAGAAGACAAGTGCAATGATCCAGGAACTGAGAGAAATTAAAACTTAAACATTTCATTTATACTTAACGTTTCATTATTTAGTGAGATAAAAGGGTACAAGCCTTTTAATAAGTTAGTAAAACTTAAACACGCAAGTTCTTATGTTCTAACAATGAATTTAGCATTCCTTTTCCAACAGTCAGGTTAATAGAGAGGTGTGACATTTTCATTCTGTGTTCTTCCTCGATAAGGCTCAATCAAAGCACATTGTTACTTTCTTCCAAGCAGAGAATCAGTAAAGCATTTCTTGACTTATCTCAGATGGAGATAAGAGTCTTGACAACTTCTCGAATAATCTTAGATGAAAGATACCGTTCTGAGGAAATGTTGTCTTTTTCTGTATTAACCAAATTACGAAAAGCTTGTTTATAATTTCAAAGATAATGATAAGTTCCCTCTTTTGGCATCTACCATCTAACAGCAACAGCACATCAAATGCCACAAAATGCTAATATCTTATTTTTGTCCTGTATACTAATTTTGATATCCCCGGTCAGCATTTCTAGTCAAAGATATCTATTTTACCGCAAAGAAATTTACCTATAAGCATCTGTGTTTTGTTTTTCTATTTTGTGCAAGTGTGGATATTCTCATTGTCAGCACAACAGCTTAACTGAAATCAAATTCTAAAAGTCACTGATCATGAAAACAAAAATATAATCTTGCAACAATTCTTACTGATTACATTCTCCTCATAGAATTCCGTACTATGTATGCGGTTCTATTTTTAAAAAAATAAAATATGTTACATTTAGTATAATATACTGCAATCAGTTTTGCTTTGACGGTGAACAATGTGCAGCACCTAGAGTCATTACAGCGTTGTTGCTACATATATGAACATATCAATAGCTCAGTGTAAAACTCTTTTCAGAATGGCATATAGCGGAGTTTTACACTTAGCAATCAATATGCAGCTGAAGCATAACAGAGCATTCAAAAGTAATTTTTCATCAAATAATCATAGATGGCATTTGTATAGCACAAATTTCTGCCCAACAGTAAGCTCTAGGTGCTTTACAATCTATATTATTAGGCTACCACAGCAGACCTGATAGCATTCCTAAACTATCTCGACTTCCTGGGAAGCATACAGTGCAAGCAGCCATTTTCTAAGCACTAAAGCACTGATATATATACAGGAATACTCACCATCAACACCTCCAGCTGTGTGAGAGTCAGGTCCATGCAGTGAAGATAAAAGTCCACGTACTCTTCCACAGTCTCCTGGGTTGTCATGGACCTATTTTTATTTTTCTTGTTCTTTGCTGCTTGCTCTTTCTTTGCATTATCCTTCAGCATCTGTCAAAGTTATCACACATAGTAAAAATATGATAGCCAATGTTGATCACAAACAACTGTGCATACAAATTTAGCTGTTACTGTTTTTCTTGTTTTTGGCACTGTTGCTATTGTCACTGCTGTTGTTGTTGTTGTTGTTGTTGTTGTTGTTGTTGCTGTTGTTGTTGTTGTTGTTGGATAACAAATTCTCACACACACACCAAAAAAAAATACCCCCAAATTTCCAAACAGAAAACCCACTCACTTTGGTCAAGTTGGGGCCAACAACACTAATGGCATCCTCTGGACTTCTTTCTCCATTTTTAAGGACTCTTAGTCTCACTGGGGTCACTGAAAACAATAAAATTTGGCATTTAGATTTCGCTAAAACATAATACATAAGTCATCGTCTACTTTGGTATTACAGGTTTATATATTGGTTTAGTTATGGTACATCTCATGCCACAGAATTTTTCAAAAGCTGTCCTTTTTCTCATAAAAGATTATGGACATGACATGCACTATGGAAGTTTGAGTTCCAAATTTGAGGGGAATTTCAATTATTTTTCTCATCCTTTCTGACAAATTTCATTTTAACACAGAGCGCTAACTATGGGACCTTCAAAATGACCCACATTGTGTCTAAATGGGAGTAAAACTCAATTAAAGAACAAAGCAAAAAAAAAAATGCCTGGGACAATAGTGACATTGACTAAAAAGTCTGAGAAGAAAGAGGAAAATATACTTAGATTGTCTGTAAGCCTATTAGTGAAAAACATTAAAAACACACAAATGTGTGAAGAAACTTTAAAAAATCAGTGCTCTGAAAGATCATGTAAACAAACATATATAACAAGCAAATGAATTTTGTAACATTTTCTCAGTATACTGAAGAATAATCCAAAGAAAGCTGAGAAATTAGCTGCACCGAAAAGAAAAAAATTGCTTCGACAGCATTTAATTAAAAACAGGACGGCGAAAAGTTTTTGTTGTTGCTAATTCTATTGCTATTGTAGCAGTCACTGCTGTTGTACTTATTAATGTTGCAGTGTTTGATGTTATTTTTGAGAATTGTAGTGCATGGCAAGTCAGCATGCTAATGGATGTCTATCCCCAGGATTAACTAGGATAAATTTGATACGGAAAATAAGAAGACGGATATACCAAAGTGCCCACCAAAACAGCAATTTTTTATCACACAGCTGTAAATACACAACAAATGTTGTGAACTTGTTAACGTTACAACAAGCTACGGACAATATAAGACTTACTTCCTGACATGCTCATTCTTTTCCCTGCCTTGTGTAGTGGGGGTGCATTAGGTATCAGGTAACCCTCCATCGGCCAGTCATACTCCTAATCAGGGCATAGAATTTCAAAAAGGGTTAATTAACAAAATTTGAAAAGCAAGAGTTACAATCTTAAATTTTCAAACGATTCACTTCTCTCTTCACAGTAAAGGAAACAAAATAATTTACTGTTTTTTGAGGAGCCAATACAAAACAGGATGAACCATGACATTAGCTTCTTTTAGATTATTCAGTTTTCAAGTTTAACAGATTTGTTCACCTCATTCAACTGTCCATCTGTTGTAACTGGCCAAGAGTATGCCTGCTTGTTCCACTCAGGGTTGGAGGAGTGAGTGAATTTCCACTGCCCCAAATTTTCAAATTTCTCTTGCTTGAAGGCGAACCTACAAAAATGGTTATTTTTAAAAAATATTAAAGGCACAGCTTATGAAAAGAAATTAATATAAAACAAATAGCATGCAGAAACACAAATAACAAGGAATTTAATTTTCAGATGCATTAGATAAAAATGTAATTTAAGCGAGACCCAACAATTCCAGACCCATTCCATCTTCCAAACTCCAACCGACCCTATTTCACTCTTATTATTTTAACATAAAATGTAGACTTTTCCCACTGAAGTTCAGACTATCAAAGGTGCAAAATCATACCATAACATTTGTTTCTATTTTTTCAACCACCTTTGTCTGAGCTTCACGCATTACACTTCATTCAGAAAATATACTAAAAGAAAGCATCTTCTGAAATCTATGCAAAAAAATGTTGCTGTTGCGACCATGGCTGATTTATTTAAACATATTTAGTTTCCTTTCTCAAATAGAAGTTTCTTTCAGAAAAATATTTGCTCTAATGCTTTGTATAAACAGTGTGTATGTCCGACAATCCTTACCTTTGAGCGGATAAATCCTTTCTGGGCAGGGGCTCAGTGACCAACAGGCAGACTCTCTCACCGTTTTTGCAACCGACAGGGGTATTGTTCAGGTAACCTTCTTCGTCTCTGGCTTTGTTTCCAAGGAAAGTCAACAGGAGGCTTGGCTGAGCCTGAAAAAGTTTGATATTTTCAGTATTTTTTGGCCAGTTCCAGTATTTATTTTTTTTCAATAGAAATATAACTAAATTAGATTAAACAAAAAGAAAAAGTCCCATATGGTGAAGTGACACAAAAGAAAGTAAATCTGTTAGAGTTTAAGGATTTCATTATTATTCCAACCTTTTTCAGTTTGTTCGAAATATCAATTTTTCAGCAACACATACAGCAAAATGCAATGAGTAACAGAACGGCTAAACAATAACATGTCATTGTCATGTTGTCGTAGCAGCATTAGTAGTGGAAGACACTGTGCCATTACAACAGACAGAAGTGTTTGTTCTGTATTGTGGGACCCTCTGAATGCCCTGTGATGACAATGTTCATGGCTAATTAGCTGAAAATGCCAGTTGCAGTAATGAAGAGCATTGACAGCTGAATGTTGTATTGCGTATTGTCATCAGACACCTCAAGTATCTTAAGCTACTCAGACCTAACACCTACAAAAATTAATACGGAGACAAGATAATATTGACAATGGTGTCCAACTTACATCGCAAGAGATGACCGCTTCAGTCTCAGAAAACCTCCAGATCTGACTCGGGTTCCCCACCATCTTCTTCTGGAGGGTAACAGCATAGCCTGTGACACTGACATCCCTGGTGAAGAGTCGAGCCTCCACGCGTGTGTCTGACACAGCCAGACACAGTTGTGGGTACGCCTTGCAGTAGATTTGGCCAGACTGGGGGAAGAAAATTAAGCCAATATGTAATTAGTTCCCACAGATAAACTTCAGTTCCCCAAGCCTACCATAATTTTTTTTAAATATTCAATATGAAGTTTAAACAATTTCCGTATTCAATTGTACTGAATGAAGTGTGGAAATAGATTTTACTTTATTATGCTTTCACATTTTTGTTGTTGACTACGTTCATCTTAACTCTTTTTATCCTAGCTGTACCCCCACGGACTCTGTACCAGTCCTGGGGCCGCCGCGCCGTATGAGTCAGAAGTCAGTGCATATCGTTCAAAGTGCTACATTTCTTACATTTACTCTAAGATTTTAAGGAAATTTGGCAATTATGTTAGAAATTGAATGTAGTTTTTAATTATGAAGGTGGTTAGGAAACACACCAATAGCACAATGTAGATTTTGAGGTGTATTCCACCCTCGAACTTGACCCTGATTGTCGCGCCCACGACGTCCCCCAGCGCCACTTCAAAAAGTACTTCATCGGTCGTGAATGTGTGTTTTCGAGACATCTTTCAAGCTTCTACACCCATCAAAAACAAAGAAACCACTGTTCATAGGAAAATTAAAATATTCAGACAGAGCTAGCATTGCGTATTTTGGTATTACAAGCAGAACTAGCTTCCTTGACGTGACCGTATCGCTGTTCCTAGTATACTCGTAGCCCACATAAAAAGAGTTAAAAAGCTCATCTTAGCAACTAAAAGACATAAAAGATACAAGCAGAAAAAAGTCGTAAATAAATATCTCTACCCTGCAAACATTCACGACCAATTAAATCAGTCATAAATTTTCTTAAATTAAGTAGGCTTATGGCCTTTACTTGCCTGTTTTTTTTCCTACACTCAACCAATTTTCAGTGTAATAAAATGCAATCATATAATTTCTCTCGACACAACTGGCTATTTGTTACCAACACCAAGCAGGTTAACAAGCAGAATGCCTACAGTCAAAGTTGATATCATAAATGTCATCTGTTTTCCAAATGTGAGGCGTGCTGACAAAATGAGTTACTTCTCGCAATCCACAAATGGAGATATTGGCCAAAAATCGACATTAGGGTCAAACTTGTAGGTTTTCAATTGATGCCATGTTCTTTAACTATAACCTGACTTTTATTATTTCATACTTAAAAACTGTAAAAACTTCACCTATAAGCGTGATGTGTCTATTTCCTTGAGGCTTGAATCTGAGAAGTAACTCATTTTGTCAGCACACTTCACAAATGATCTTTATTTGTATTCAGTAGGTGTAACAATTCACTAAATTTAAAACAAAGAACTCTGTTGACAAAACAAGAATGAACTAAAGAGTAAAAGACAAATGAAAGCTACAAAATGATCTATCTAAACAACATGCAACAAACCTTATTGTTCTGATTACCTTTGAAATGACAAACACTTGTTTCCTCCCCTGAGTTTTCTCTTCAAAGCCAAGTTCAGGGTACAATGCAAAGTCATGAAGATCCTGAAAAAGAAAAAAAAAATCAAACACTTTACTTTGGGCTATTTTCATACCTTTCAAAGTTTCACAACATCGTTCATGCTAGAAAACTGCAATTTCCCCAGCCATTTGAGCAATATCACAAAACTGTGACGGTCATAATATAACTAAACAAACAATTAATGCTGTCGCTGAGGTACTTAGAAACAATAGAGATCAGGACTGAAGGGTATGAGCCAAATTGTTCCAGGGTTTTGGTTTTAGTAACAGTTTTACAGCACTTATAATATATATATATATATATATGCCAAAGATTAGCGATGTCAATTGAAAGTAACAAACAAAAAAAAGAGGGAGAAGAGATATCGATGATAGATGTTTGACAGGAAAGGAGGAGCAAACCACACCAAAGCACCCATACCAGCCATCCATGACATTACAACAAATACATAAATAACAACAACAATAACAAATATATGAGGCATTGAGGTGAAATCAGGCACTCGTCAGAATAATGAAATCAAAGAAATCGTCTTTTTTTTGGCTGATAAGCAATTTTTTTCTAATTTATGGCCATTTAAAAACACATTTTCATCTGGATTTTACTGAAAAACATTAAAGGCACAACAAATTTTAATTTTCTATTTCCAAGGACTCCCAGGCTATGGAAGTTACCAAACTTTGGCGGTCATTTTCTCACTAATTTTACCTCTGAAACCAGGCGGCCTGACCTTCAATTGCAAATATTTCGATTTCTATTCGAGATAGGTTGATATTTTTTTCACCAAAAGGAAGACAAATGAACATGAGGCTTTAAAATGATACCAATAACTCCACATACCCAAAAATTGACCAGCGCCCGATTCCACCACACCGTGACATATACAAAACTCAAAATACCTTTAACAACAGATAGTGACTCCGGCTGTCCACTTCAGAGTGATCCAAAAGGTATTGGATCTTTTCCTCATCATACTCCAACATCTTCATCTCGTCCATCTCAAACAAAGCAGGGAATCCTATGGTTGCTTCCCAATGGCTGGCACTGTGGAGACAGTAGCAATACCTCTGACATTTTGTCAAGAAAGGGTTTGAAACTTTTAAACTCTTAACAGTTCTTTCCTTTAAAAATTGAACAAAAATGTTTGATGGTTTTGGAAGGCTATAAATCTCATATTTTTGTCTAATTTATTCATTTTGGTGCTTGTACATAGAGTGTAGATTTGACTGTGGTGAATTACCCCCCAAAAAATTGAAATTTTTTTTTGCATTTTACCTAAATCCTTCTCATCTGTCCGCCATCTTGAATGACCTTCTTTTATATGAAAAACAAAGCAAGAACAAAAATATTTATGGACCCAGGGGACAGATAAATCTATGAAGCTAGAATTGCAATGTCTGAGATCCAAAAAAGGGAGGCTCCTCTAGCAATATTAGTGAAATACTCTATATTTCTATTTATAGAAATCTCAAAAGTAGGTCAAATATGCAAATGAGTTAAATGTAATCTGTGATCTGTGTCTAAAATCAATACCTACCCAATACGCATTACTTTTAGGTAAAGTACCACAGTCATTATGAGTCTTCACAAATATGTAATACTATTTATGCAATCGGACTATTCATTTTCATTTCAAATTTGAACAAGTAGGTCAAGTCAGGGTACTCAAATGGCTGTCATCTCGACTAATTGGCCTGAAATTACTTAAATTTTTGGTATATTTTGTAAAATCGAATGTTCCTTGATATAAACTAGAAATTGAATCAGTTTCTTTGAAAACAATTTTTTTTTCTCTCTTTGCCAACGTAAAGATGAGAAAAAAAAGTCATTTTTTCTATTTTTGGATACCAAATAAGTAGGTCACACATGCAAATGAAACTTCATACACACATAATTATCATTTCAAACCAAAGTCCACTCAATAACCTTTCCATTGATATACAACACTTATTGTGTTGACCATCACAAGAATTTATAGCATTTTTAAATCTACGTCCACCCTCTTTACCAAAACTGCCCCAAACCCAAGAACTGTTGAGAGTTAAAGTTTGAGACTAATAATAAAATAGTTCATCTGTCAATGTCAGACGATGAACAATGCATCTACAGAGGAGAATCTTTCTTAAAGAAAAACAAAGTTTTCTGCTATGACCAATGAGACCACTGGCAGAGAAGAGTTTGCTACATTTTCAACATTTGAACGCTTCTCTTTTGGCTTCAGTATTTTTGTTATATTTGAGACTATCATTAACTCTTTATTTCTGGAAAGCCACTCCCAGCAGCTCGAGGTCCGAACTGCTGTGTCGGTGAGCCGTTGGCAGTGGCTCATCCACATTCCTTTACAACGATTTCGACATCAAATTACTTTTCAGCAATTCCGAAAAGCAGGTCTCTTTTATTAGGATTTCATTAATTAGATGAAGAACTATCAAAATAGGTTGACTTGTTTTGATTCAATGACCAGTTTAGTGATGCTTTTGTCATTTTTAGTTTTAGTACCAAAAAAGGGTCCTGGCGTAGTGGGTCTACACCCCACTGAGAAAAGGAGTTAACAACAATACTTCTATTTGAGTATATAAGGTGTCAGGATTCAGACTATAAACTTCAGTAGTTCCTTTATCATTTATAGTGTACTCTAAGAAAATAAAACAGTCGGCCTACTTTTTGAAAACTTCACATTTTCACAAACAAAACAGAATTATGTTACAATTGGTGAATTTCATCCTCACATTACATTAACCTCAAATGTTATGTCTCCTCTTTATAGCAAATTTTGGCACTGAAGACAAATAACAACACAAGCATTGATGAGTTAAGAGCAGATGACCTACTTTTTCACCATCTCTTCTTGCTCTGGCCCAATAAGTGCTTCTCTGGCAAATTTGTCTTCACCGTTGGGACCGGTCAGTTTGACCGCTTTGTCCAGGAACACCTGAAGGCAATATGCTGAGGAGAACATTACAGAAAAGTTGATTAATTAGCTGAATGAAAATGTTGAAAAGGTCTCGGACCAAATCTACACAAGAAAACAAAGTTTTGTGGACGCTGGAGAAGAAAATATCAGTAAATAGCAATGCAAACCAACAGTCTTGGACGAATATTTTCTGCTAAATCAGGTCTCGAACCTAATTGAGGCTCTGGTGTGAAATTTCAACCTTTCATGTCCATGTTCTTTCTCAACAAAAATGACTGCCCACTTTTTCTATTTCCTGTGCAACTATTAAGCAGCTTTCTGCCCTTAAAAGAAGTAAATGTATATTGTAGTCTATGACCTGCAGATCGTTGTATTGAAATTGGCACTTCATAAAGAAAAAGTAATTGAGAGAGATTTTCTAAAACATTGTAAAGTTTTCCCAAAAATGTACTTTGCCTTGCACAAAATGTTTTAAAACAAACTGGAAGGGGAAAATGTTTCAACTTACTGAAAGGCTCAATAAAAGGTTCTCCAAAAGATATCCACACAAGCTGATCATCTGAGAGCTTTGTCACATCTTTAATCTCATTGCCGAACTGGTCAAACAGTTTCTGGGCCTTGATGCTGAGAGTACGATTGGCACTTGAGGCCAGCTTTGAGTTGGAGAGCTCTTCAAGCAGCTAAAAAGATTTAATTGACAAACAAAATTAGACTCATTAGGAAGTTTGAGATCTTTTCAAGCAACTAAAATTGCTTTTAACTGTTCCTTAAGCAGGTAGAATTATTTCTATAAATAAAAAAGAGCTGTCATTTAGCTGTGTGAGAAAAAAATAAAAACTGTCTCCACTGATAACATGACCATGTTTTCGTTTCAGATATTTCTTTTCAGCCCTAATTCTTTCAAATTAAATATGTCACGATGCAGTGGAATCAGGCGCTTGTCAATTTTCAGCCATGTGGAGTTACTGACATCATCTTAAAGCTTGTTTATTTATCTTGTTTTCGATGAAAAAGTATCCCTTTATCTGGAATACAATTCGAGATCTTTGCAATTGCTGGAGGTGGGTTCACCTGGTTTCGCAGGTAAAATTAGCAAGAAAATGTCTGCCAAAGTTTGATTATTTTCAATGCTTGAGAGTTTAAGGAAACTGAAAATTTGCATTTTTTGTGCCTTTAATCAACGTTTTCGGTACAATCCACACAGAAATCATGTTCTTAAATTGACATAAAAGGAGCTGAGCTAAAAAACAAAAATTCTATAAAGATGCCAGTTTCTTCAATTTTATTATTTTGACGAGCGCCTAATTTCACCATGCTGCCTCACAGATACACATTCTATAGTTTAGAAAAGCATATGATCCCATCAAACAGACTTTCACATAAGTATTCCTTAGATGCCACTTGAAAACACACATTCTCCATCACAATTAAAGTTAACTCTGGGTCTTCAGTACATAAATTCTGGTTGATACAATGCTGGACAACTGTGTGAAAGGCCCTGGTTTAAATCTCCAGTGACATATCACTGGATTTGGGTTGTTTGGAGAGTTTTAAAGGCTCTCCATCGACCTGGCTTAGTCCCTCTGAAGGAGGACATTAAGTAGAAAGTCATGTCTCTCTAAATGAGGAATACTGATATGGGTGTTGAGCCCATAGGATATTATTAAATCCTACTTAATTTCCACAACATAATTTATTAATCCAAATTACATACCTTTTGCAGATAGTATTCTTTACTAAAACCACCTTTCCGAGCTTCTGTCAGGTTGAAGAAATGAGTGAATTCTCCATCAGGTTTTCCATTTTCCAACACCTTAAAAAACAGATAAATCATTCTTTTAAGAACTTTAAAAGCTTAAAAGCAAGTATATCACAACACTAACAATTTCAAAAATTCTATTTATTATTGGATGTCACAGCTGGCATATTGGCCAGTATCAGGATGCACCTCAAGATTCTTTTCATTATCAAAAGTACTTATCTTTATATTCCCTCCCCCCAATCCCTCACTCTCCGCCATCCTATAATATCTCATATACACTTCAGTGCCTCTTTCTCTTTTTACTACACCAACTTCTTCTGAAATTCCCATAACAATCACAGACATCAGCAAGACTGACTTACTGCCTTTATGAGTTCTCTGGCTTGGTAAAAACAAATGAACACAAAAAGTTAGAAAAGAGACTTAAAAACACATTTTGTCTAATAAAGGTAAATAAAAAATAAATAAATAAAACGTAGTGAAAATCTAAAGCAGTAAAAACAACATCTGTTAACAAAAAGGGGAAGCACATTTTCTGTCCAGGTAGTATCACTATAGACTCACCTTTAGATTTATTCCATAAATCTTGTAGAGCGCTTCTTTTGTTCCTTTAAAAGAATGCTCTTCCTGTAAGCAGAACATGATCACTTTAAGACTACACAGGATTCATGATGAGAAATAAATTGAACATCTTTCTACAATTAAGCTAAAGACCACCAATGCCTCGTGAGAAAAATAAAAGTGATCTCCAGTCTTTGCCAAAGATTTGTTCATTTCTTTCTGACACTCCTTTAGAAAAATTATATTTTGCCTCCGACTTCTCAGTTAAATTAATTCCCTAAACATACCTTTCTCCCTATTCCTTCCTCCCTTGTTCTCATTCTTTCTCTCTCACTCTCTCTCTCTCTCTTCTTTAATGACTGAATGACTGAATGTGTGTGTGTGTGTGTGTGTGTTTGTGTGTGTGTGTGTGTGTGTGTGTGTGTGTGTGTGTGTGTGTGTGTGTGTGTGTGTGTGTGTATAATTTCCTGCACTAATATGACGTATTTGTATTGCAAGTTCCGTAAACTCTTACGAAAGCTAAACTAAATCTTTGTATTTCTGCTGAAATGTATCTCACACTCCTTGGTTCAGAGCTTACAGGCAGGGCAAATGTAGCCCAACGCATTTTCTAAGCGATCCAAATAGTGCTCATTGAGGTGATAAAAGTTACAATAACAGAAAAATACTGACACAGTAGGAATCCCAAATACTGATATTTTCTTTCTTTTCCCTGCAGACTGATTCACCCCAACACAATCATACATCTCAAGATAAATATCAACTCAGAGACAATACCTTCTTCGTAATGGCTTCCAATTGCTCTTTCACCAAACTAATCCTTTCTTTGCATTGGGGAATTTCTTCTTCAACCTGCAAAATACAGAAAAACACAACACTGAATTATCCATCACATTACTCTAGTTTAAAACAAACGTTCGGTCATAAAAAAGCCCCTTTTGAAAAGTGGAACACAATAAAAGGCAGGGTAGAATGCATATTTTCAGTAAAAAACACAATCCATGGAAGTTCAGTGAATTTAGACTCACTCTTTGTTTTGTCCATTTTCACAATTTCAAACTATATTACTGATAACAAGACATCAACAAAGTTTTCCCTCAAGTTATACAAATTAATTCATCCAAAGCATAAAACAAGCCTCAGTTACTAACCTCAGCAGAGGACTCATAGAGCTCATCAACACTCAGTTTGGCAATTTCCGGGTCGGTCACATTCTCATCATTGTCAAGTGCACTGTCAATCTGATATCAAAGTAAAAAATATACAGTTGAATCTGGCTGTAAAATCTTCATCTCGAAGCTCAAATTGTGGGTGGTTGGCAGGTGCTCTGGTGTGGTTTGTTTCTCTTTTCCTATCAAACATCAATCGTCCTTATCTCTCCTCCTTCTTTTTTATGTTTGTAACTCTCTTGTAATACCTCTAATCTTCAGGAGTATTATGACCTTATTGTGTTGCAAGTGCCGTAAAATACTTACTATAACTAAAACAGTTCACACTCTACTCAAGCCAATGTCCATTTAAAAAGAGTGCACTGGCCAGTCTAACGTCCAGGCCTGATCTGACCCTTCAGACCAAACTAACTGAACAAGGGTACAAAAGGCCAAAATAACCTTGACCTATTATCCTAAGCAAAAATAAAAAGAGAAGAAAAGAATTACATCTTCTTTGTATTTTGTCAGTCTCTTGAGGTTGTCCTTGTAAGCCCGCAGTTTGTTCTTCAAAAATCCTGTCATGCCGTCAAGCATCGGGTACCCTCCTGTGGACACCCACAATGGCCCCCGCACTGGGTTCTTCAGTTTCTGGCCATCCTCATCCTCATCAAAAAGGTATGGCGCTGTACAAAACAGGAAATTTTAAAACATTAAGTTCAAAAGAGTCAGAAGAGCTTAATGGCTGGCCTTCCTATCAACTTAACTAACATTTGAAAGTATGGAATCCTTTTTGTGACTTCCTTGTACGCTGTACTATTATCAGCTACATCTTAGTGCCAGTCCAACATGTAACAGTGACACACTATACTATCTCACGAAAGGTGCCAGGAGAGGTTAACATTCTAATGTCTTTGGATTGCTCTCACTTTTTACCATTATATTCATATACAGCTAACGGCAGAAAATTGACACTCCTGGCTTCACATGCCCATAGGAAGAGAATTTACCAGCGACAGGACAACATCTAACCCAAACATAGAGATATTGGCGTTGTGTGCAAAAAAAATAAAATAATTCTGAGCCATCAGACAGTGAGGGATAAATTATTATCATAACTGCAAGCTTAAACTCTAAGTTTCGAAAGTGAAAAAACAGTCTTTAAAATTATGATCATACCAGACCACTGCTGATTTTAAACTGGACATTACATAAATAACCAGCGTACAAATTGTGAAGATACAACAAGCACGGCAATGCAATAACTGCCATCAACTACTGCTTACCGCTAGATAGACTTGTCACACGGTTCCCCTCAACATCATAGGCAGCCTTTGCAGGAATCTGAAGGCCAAGCTTGGCTGTGCTGGCAGCTAGAAACTGGAAATGGGGGGGGGGGGGGGGGGGAGGGATTACTAGAAATTTGAAAGTGGTACACCTCTTCTATCAAAAATAATCAACAACGAGCTTTCCGTTTTTATATGAGCTAAAGCCTGAAAAGACACATATAGACCATTTTGAAGGCAGATCACTGGTCCCTGTTATCAGAGAAAAGAAAAAGGAGACACAGAGGTCCAAATGGTATACTAAAGAAGATACAAAATATGTGTGCAACCCAGCACAGATGCTTGAATGCACTTCTCAATTATTCTGATTTTTTAAATTAAACATCGTTTTTCTGAACATTTCATAGGCTGGACTTGACATAATCTAAACTTTTCACTTTTCTCCGAGGTAATCAAATGCAGATAATAATAAAATTAGTCAATTTTGCACCTTCTCGTGAAGTTATTTCTAATAATGTCTGTCTTAGTAAAACCAATTCCATTTCCCATTTGGGAGGGAGAAAAAGATCTGAGAGACGAAAGAAAACTTACGCAGTCCAGGTTTTCCAAATCAGCAACAACATCAATGGGCTCTTTGCAATCACCATTCTTAAAGACCATAACTCTCACTGTGCTGCTTTCACATAGAGCTCTGAAGAAATATCAAAAACATAGAAATGACAATTTGTAGCCATAGTTCTCCTTCAAACTGAAGCCAATCACAACTCTACATGTGTGCAGTACCACCTATGGACATCTAATTGATTCCAATTTACCATTTACTAGAAATGACAATGGTCATACAGTTCTAGGGCAAAAAAAAATCTGAAGCAGACCAGTAAAAACAACAGGGATAGATAAGTACATATTATAAGTGCCTTTCAAACCTCCACTCTTAATCAAGAAACCTCAATATATCATCATTGTCGTCTCATTATATTTTCTTTTCACAGCTAACACGAAAAAAAAGTTAACCTGACCAAAACGAGAGATACCAATTCTACATTACCTCATTCTTCGGGACAATCTTGGCTTGACACCTTTCTTTCGGCCCTTTTCAGGAAGGACTATGCCTGTCAACGTCCACACAGAACTGTTTCTTGCAATCATACTCCCTGCACAAGACCAAAAATAATTACAAACAAAAAACAAAAAACTTTTGACAACATAATGTCATGATTTTATTCCACATAGCAAAATGCACTCCTGATTTAAAGACTTGTTTTCAAATTTTACTGCATCGCCTCCGATGTGCAACCTCAGGTTACAGGCAGCTTGTACGGGTAACAAAGTAACAGTGTGCTATCTATTTCAGTTAATATTTTGTTCCGCATTCAAAAATATTATAATCTAAGCCATTTAAAGAAGTTCATGTAAGTTCCTGAATATACAAGGAAGATGGTGTCATTTTGTGCTTCAGCAAAGAAAAATGAGTTTTCTCAGATTTTATGTGATTTTATTTGACAAGCAAGCATCATTAGCCACAACCTATGATGAACCAAAGTGCTCACAAACTGATCAAAAGTCACAACACTTTGGAATATAATCTTTCAATTGGATCTTTTCACGTCTAAATTTTCATGTGAGTGTAATATCCATTTCTAAGGTAGCATCAATTTTTTAAATACTGATATATAATTGAAAAGAAGAAACAAAGGTCAGTTCTAGGCAGCCTTCCAACACCCCCCACCCGACTGGTTGTTATTTCAGTTCACAGACACTGATTGGATGAGCATTTTGAAGGGCTGAGAGGGTTAAACAGTAATTAAGATAAATAGTTTGACTCACTTTTTGTTGATCTGTAAGGATCCTTAAACTTTTCTCCCATCGATATGTAGATATCACTGTCAGGGGGTATGTTTGCCTCAGAGAACACTTCAACGCCATCTTCTAAAAATATCCTCCTGGCAGCAAAGGGCAAATCCAGCTTCTCAGTGGCAAATTCCAGAAACTGAAATCACAAATAAAAGATGAATTAAATATATTATTTTTAAACAATTGTTATTTTTGTTGGGTATTCTTTAACTGCAACAGCAGTATCTGTGCTTTTAGGTTGACTACTTAAACAAACTAGCATAAAAATATAAATGCAAAACATATTCAATCAATCCTGGAATCAGTCCAAAATGAGAACTTTTAGAGTGTGCCTGAATCATGAGAACTTAGCTCCTCAGGGAATAGGCAAACCTACATTAATATGCACACCTCAGGGGAGAGCAGAGCAGACACATGGTCCTATATATCCAAAAATCCCTGTGCTGACTCCTACTCACACCAAAACTCACACCAAAGTAAATCAACGTGTGCAATAAACCTCACTGTCAATTTCTTATCATATTAACATTTTTGCATTCCAGTACATCTCTTTATCTATTTATCTATTTTTTTATTGAGTAGATATATGCTGGTGTGAAGATGTGGTAATTAATCTGAAGAGAGGACATTTTTATTGGTGCGATACAAACTGTGTATTTAACTTGTACTAAAAACAAATAAAAGTCAAAACAAACAAACAAACAAACACAAAATTAAAGAGCAAAATGTTGGTAATAACAAGAAGTTTATCATGTTTGGTAAGACCTGTTTTGATTCACCTAAGTATACTGAAAAAAGCATGTTACCAAGGTGAGTGGAAACTACGTTCAATATCTTGCTGACCACAGGAACAAAAGTTCTAAATGACTAATGGCTGATCCAACGTAAAACTACATTAATTTTATCTATGACGAATAAATGTCCTAAGTTAATACATATGTTATTCATCATCTACAGTTTATATGGTGATTATTTTTTTCTCTTTGTCACATTTTGTCTTCAGCATTAATGTATGCATGTATGCACATATTACAAAAAATCTTTAGACATGACTGACAATATATATGACTTTGATATCATAAAATAAAAAGAATTCTGCCAGACAAATCTGCTTACGATTTTGATGTTGGGGGCTGCCAGATAAGCAAACTTCTCTCGGCAACCGTTGATATAGGCATAAGCTTTCACTAGATGTGGCAGCTGCTTGAACACAGATCTACGTCCTGAAATAAAATAGTGGACACCAATATATCAAAATCAGGATAGTCAGTTCTTATCCTTGAGTATGCTTTTTTTCCCAACAGTTTCACAATAAAAGCTGTCAGAGGTATTTGCTTTACAAATGACTGATGTTCTATTCCACACATCTTCACAAAGAATCAAACTCAGGCCAGAAAATTGTAGACACACTCCCATGATTAAGTCTGAGTCTACTCCCTTACTAGACATAGAGAGGTCACTCTGAAGATAGTGAGATAACAAGAGTCAAAATTTTTGTTATACCCGATCATTGATAAACAGATCAGAGTACTGAAAGTCTTTTGAAGTAGAGAAAAGAAATGAAAGTCTTTTGAAGTGGAGAAAAGAAGTTACTCCAACATCATATAAAGCAACATCCACCAACAAAGGAGTTGACAAAATGTTGAACAATTTGTATCGCCTTTTCCTCTCAGGGTAGTCTTACTCTTGCATCTGTGACTGCCATCATATTTCATTAATGGTAGCTTTACAATAGAGCAAGTTTCTAGAACAAGCCAGTCACAAGTGACAGACTTTTTGTCTGAAAACTGACAACACATTCTCCAGAAATATGTAAATCACTAAAAGGCCAATCTACAATTACGAAGAAATGAAAAAATCCCCATTAATCATGAAATATTCATTTCAGTTAAACAATAAAAACCACGTCCATCTAGAAGATGTCAATAGAAAAAACAAAGCACCCCACGCTTCCATAATTGTTTCTATGATTAAATCTTGCTTTAAATATTTCCTCACCTGAAGGTGGTCTTGACCTTTGAGATACTCCCGATAATGGCCTGTGAGAATACAAGATTGAATAAAAAGAGATAAATACTTTGGACATAGAACACAGGCCACAAAATTTCTGGTTAAAACAGTGAAAGCTTTACATCCACAAGAACTAAAAGAATGGGTTTCCAAAACTCATTCGTGTTTTATTCTAAACTAATGAAATTGAGAACAAAAAGCAAATAAATAAATGAAAATGATATTTGCATATAAAATGTAGAAATACAAATCGTATGTAAAATTTGTTCTTGGTTCAGTCTGAATGAGGTCTTTTGTTAAAATTCTTCTCAGTTCTGAACAATAACAATAAGACAGAAGTACCTCGGGACTGGTTGCGAACGACGATAATGATAACTTGTAAGCACACAAGTTAGTCTGCATTGCCTTTGAAAGTTAATTTTTATGAAGATTATTGGCCACATTCCTTTCACTGTTTTGAAAATATGATAGCATAGATGTAGGGTAACAAATACACTAACAACGGCCCCCCTGTGATTCTTCGGCCTACTTTTATTAAATGCTAGGGATGAAGATGACGAATTATTTCCAAATTTTTGGTCACTCTATGCGAGGAGTTGGGAATGAGGGTTGTGTCCTGCCCCCCAGGACAGCCTGGCGGGGATCTAGAGTAACCACCAAACAAACTTAACTCATTCGCTACGCCGAGCCGTGGGGGGGCGGCGCGGCTCAAGTGCCGTCAGTACGTTAAGCCGCCCCCTGTGGCTCGAGAACCGACGTTCAATTTTAGCTTGGTTTCTATTCCAATCCACTTATCCATGTTAAAATAAAGTTCATAATATAATGTTGACTTCCGGGTCAAGCGTTTCCACCGAAAATCGGAAGTTTTGATTCAGTTTTGAAACATGATTTCGTAGTTTTTTCGACTTTGTTTTATCGCGAAGCCCAAATTATAGCCCAGACACCAGTCTTAGTAATTTTACACAACAAAATGTATAATTATTTTGCTCACTAAAGAAGTGTAGGACTCTTCTTTATAATATTGATACTATTGGACGCAAATTGCCAGTGCACTGTAATTGAGAAATCAATATTTTTGAGTGCTAGATCTAGGCCTAGATCTAAATAGTCAAAATATTTTTTTCTCCCCAAAATCACTACTTTTGGTTGAAATTAATCAAAAAGTACCACTCAAGACATGTATAGGTTTATTCCAAGTGCAATTCTGAATAATTCCATATAAATTACGCGTATTTTTTTCTGTTTGTGATCCTTTTTTCTAAATTATTTTAAAAAATTTTTTTTTTTCAATATCGGATGTTATGATCCAAATGTACAAATATTATGGAATGTATGAAAATAACTGCACATTTTTCAATATTTTCCTGTTCTATATACAGTTATGGTTATTTTGAGGTATCATTTGACTAGGTGCAAACATGTTTTTTTAGTTTCACCTGAGATTATAAATTTTTTATTTTCCAATTTTATCCGCATCCAATCACAATTGTGTTGCATAATCGCCTCTTACAGGAACCAAAGTTGAAAAATACGCAAATAAATAATGCAGGTGTATTCTACAAACCATACTGAAAATGTTGGTACATAATATGTTGATATTTATTTGAATTTATGGCCCCAAAGACCTGTGAACTGCGCACTAGTCATCATCTCATTTCGCCCTCCCGAAAAGAATTCGTCCACAAGCCGAAAATAATACGTAGCGAATGAGTTAACACTAAGACTAATACGCACGTCATCTCCTACATCAGAACATCATCATCGCCAACATAAATAATCATCCTCATGCTCACCATCACAATTACCATTACCGTCACCATCGCCAACAACACCATCATCATCATCATCATCATCACCATCATCATTACCGACTCAACAATTCCCCTTTCATATAACAATCTGCACCATTACTTTCTTTTTACGTAACCAACAAAAACGGGCACCAAAATCAGGACACGGAAAGAAAAAAAACAAAACAAAAAAAACAACCAATAAGACTGTTCTCTCTCTCTCTCTCTCTTTCTCTCTCTCTCTCCCTTCCCCCTCTCTCTCTCTCTCTCTCTCTCTCTCTCTCTCTCTCTCTCTCTCTCTCTCTCTCTCTCTCTCTCTCTCTCTCTCTCTCTCTCTCTCTCTCTTTGTGTTTCCCTTCATCTGTACCTCCCTTTCTTTCTTTCTGTCTGTCTGTCTTTCTGTATGTCTTCCATCTGTTCGTTTGGCTCTTTATCTTTCTCATTTTCCACAGATCTTACCTCACGCGTCTGACTGGAGCACTTGCTGGGCGGTTGCGTCTCAAGTCTCGAGGACTGGTAGGGTCCCATAGATTTGCATCAGCAATAAATTTAGCATCAATTTTAGGTTTGCCAGCTGACTGTCTAAAGCCCACTGAAGCTGACATTGGACGCCTCTTAAAACGTGTGTGGCGAACACCATGCGGTAGTCGCTGCAGATATGGGGATGGCTGACCACTGAAAACATAGAAAATAAATAAGTAAGCGATACTGCCACAATACTAGGACCTCTAAAAGGCTTCCGATATCTCAAACACACTGACACTGAATGTGTGTTATTTATATATATGGGCCTGATATGATAAAAGACTTTCCTTCTGCCAACTTTACAGCCAAAATAAAGCAAATGTTTAAAATAAAATTGAGTTTTATCAAATTGTCCAGAAAAGAAAAATTACAGTGGAACTCGGATTCAACGGGGTCGCTGGGCCTGACCTAAAATCTCGTTGAATCTGAGAGTTCGTTATAGCAAACATGAGGTTTCGTGTAGATAATTACAAGCACTGAGAAAGTAATGTATAAAGTGTAGTAACAAGTGGTGCCTGAAAGGCCTGCATATAATGAGCTGTGCAAAAAAAAAGACAGACTTGTTCAAATACACGCTGGTGTCATCTTGGTTGTTTGCCAAGAAGTTATGTTGCTGTGTAGCCTTACAAACGGCAACTTTTGACTCCCTAGACCAGCGCACAATTCAAGATAGTGAGATAGCGCACAATTCAAGATAGCGCACAATTCATTACGTAGATCTACGTCAAGACCAGCTTATCATTGTATTGTAATAAAGATGATCAGTTGCTGGAGGGAAAAAAGACTGTGACGCATTTGTACCAGCGACATTCCACGCCCAGACCCATGGTGCCCCCCCCCCTCCCCCCACCCCCACCCCCGTAACAGTTATAACATAGGTGTTATGTAATGTACATTTTTCCATATCTTCCCCGAAGTTATTGTCCCAATGGTTGATAATCTATTTTTAATAGATCTTTATAAGTTTCACTTGTTCACAACCTGTAATTAAAGAGTCTTAAGACTTTGATTTGAATTTAGAACACAGAGCTAAATATAGGTCACACAGTCATTGGGTCACAGGTCTATTCTCGTTGGTACTCTGACTTCTCTGCCGTATCGACTGACACGTGGTGCCTCTGCTGGGGCCGCTAGCATTTGCGCCGACTCCCGAGCAGGGCTTGGGGCATCAGGTTACCATATCGAAGACCGTGTGTTGTCCCTGGGCTCTGGTGTGGATGTTGTAGTAGGCTCTCGAGTAGCCACGAGATGATTTCTGTTGCGGCGGACGGTGCTCCCTTTTTCAAGGGTCACTGTGTTGGAGCACGGATTGGGGTGTCTGTTGTTTACGATGCCCGGTTGGCCTATTTCTCGAATATGGACATAATAAGCGGGGCAAAGTTCAGGAAGAGATTTGACACCCTGTCTCTGTTGTACTGTAGCCACATGATCTCTTTCCTCTTTTCCTCACTTTGACCTTTGACGATTAGAGGGTAGATCAACAGAACTTGGATGTAAGTTGTCCTGCATAATGGGGACTTCGGTTTGGAGTTTCCTTCCCATGAGGAGCTCACTTGGGGCATACCAGTTTTGTAAAGGAGTAGCCCAGTATAGCAGGAGGGCAGAGTATGGATCTTTGGTTTTCTTGAGGAGAAACTTCACTGTTTGCACTGTTCTGTCTGCCTCACCATTGCTTTGAGGATATCTTGGAGAGCTGGTGACATGAATGAAGCCAAACTCTTTTGCAAAAGCTTGGAAGTTGGCGTTTGAAAATTGAGGGCCATTGTCGGACATGACTGCCTCTGGGATGCTATGAGTGACAAAGATGGACAACTTTATTGATAATGAATATGCTGTTGAGCTTTTCAAGTAAGCGTAGCTCTACCCAATGAGAGTAATAGTCGACCACGACAATGTAGATCTGACCTTTCAGGTCAAAGATCAAACAGATCCATGGTCCATCGAGACCAAGGTCGGTCTGGTAACGAGGCAGGGAGCAGAGGTTCCTTCAGGACAGGACGAAGTTTTGTACAAGAGTTGCATTTCTTCACCATGTCCTCCATCTGACTGGTGATGTGGGACCACCAGACTGAAGTTTGAGCTAGAGCTCGGCATTTTGTGATGCCAAGATGGCTTTCGTTGAGTCGACTGAGAATGTCCATTCTCAAATCTAGTGGAATGACAAGTTGATCATCAAACAAAAGGATATCATCCTAAAATGCTGAAATGGTGACGATTAGTCCAATACTGTTTCAGAAGTGGATTTCAGGCATGTATTTTGGCCAGCCTTTGGTACATGTACAGTGTTTCGGGACTTCCGACGATTTTGGGTCGTTCCTCTGCTGTGAGACGATATTTTGAAGTCTCTGTGGTAAAGCAGGGAGGCAGTCAGTAGCCTGTTGTGTGAAGTCTGCTACTTCGTCAACGAAGAGAGATTCTGCATCTGATGGCAGATTTGTTGGAGCACGAGAAAGTGCGTTCGCAGTGATCTGATGCTTTCATGAAACGTGCAGCACATTTGGTGAAAAGCGCATTATGTGGAGTTCCTTGATAGAGAGGAGAGAGACCATGGGTTTGTGATCAGTCTGCAGTGTATACTGTTAACCAAGGATGTACTCACTGAAGCGTTCTGATGCCCATGTTGCTGCAGCGGCCTCCTTCTCGATTTCTGCATAGTTCTTTTCTGCATCTGTAAGAGCTCGAGAGATATAGCCGACAGGTCTGCAAGAACTATCATCTTGTATTTGAAGATTTGAAGAAGTACCCCCCCCCTCCCCGAAGCCAGACAAGGAAGCATCTGCAGCAAGGATAGTCTCCCGGTCAAGCGAGTAGTGTGCCAGTATAGGTGTTGTGGTGAAGCTATCATTGGTGCATTGAAAAGATGCCTCTTGATGTTTTCCCCAGGTCCACAATGAGTCTTTTTTTTAGCAATGCTCGCAAAGGTTCAGTTGCAGTAGCCAAATTAAGAGAGAATTTTGCCATCTGGTTCACCATACCCAAAAAGCATTGTAGTTCAGTGAGGTTCTTGGGCTGAGGGAACTTTCAAATGGGTTCCACTTTAGCAGGATCTACCTTGAGGCCTGAGTTGTTCACGATTTGCCCAAGAAACTTGAAGGATGGCTGTGAAAATTCACTCCTGTCGTTTAGAGTAATCTTAGCTCTTTGGAGACGCTTCAGGACTTGTCTGAATTGCTTACGTGAGTGTCCTGATCAGGTCCATGTATGAGAATGTCATCTATGTGACAAATGACACCTGGAAAGCCGTCCATCATGTTACATATTTTCCTTTTGAAGATTTCATGGGCTGAAGATATATGCTGAAAGGAATACGGTTAAAGCAGAATCTCCCAAACAGTGTTATGAAGGTAGTGTACCTTCTAGAGTCTGGATTGAGAGGGATTTGCCAAAATCCGCTCTTCCCATCCATTTTGGTGAATACTGTAGACCCTGCAAGCTTGGCAAGCTGTTCATCTACGGATGCCAGAGGCTGGACTTCTTGCCACACTGCCTTGTTTAGACTGGTGAGGTCCAGGCATATTCTAACTGAACCGTTTCTTTGGCACAACAACCATGCCGAAACACCATTCTGTGGGCTCCATTACGGGTGAAATCATCATGCGGTCAATTTTGGTCTTGATTTTTGGCAGTAGGGGGTGTGCAACTTTTCGTGCTGTGTACAAGCCAACAGGATCAGCGCCTTCTTGTAGTTTGATCGTGTATGGGTTATTCAGTAATCCTAGTCCTTTGAAGACATCTGGGAACTTCCTTTTGAAATTAGGAAATGTCTCGTCGACAGCATTGAGCCTGGCAATGAGACCCACAAGCTGACCTGCTGAGTAGGGCAGGTGATTGGTCTTTTACAACAAATATTGTCTCTTTCATTGCCCTTTCTTTGAACTTTAGATCAGCCTCAAAGGTGCCAAGAATAGACAAAGTTGTGTCACCAGAGCCTTTTAGAATTTTGCTGCAGCTATTGAGAGGTTCACTAGTGTCCACATTTCTGTCTCCAAAGACAGAGACCGCAGCACCAGTATCAAGCTTGAACTTCGTTGGGACGGAATTCAACTTGATGATTGCAGACCACTCATCTGGGCTGTCGATTTCATTTGCAGTGATGGAACCTAAAAAGTCTGGGGCCTCAGCTACGTGATGGAGTTGGCTGTGACTTCCTGAACTTTGGGGTGACTATGGCAAACTGCTTTATAGTGGCCTCTCTTGCCACAGGAACCATAGACTGCTGACTTGGAAGGGCAGGCATCTCATTTGTGGCTAGGGAGGCGACCACAGTATCCACAAGGTCTCTTGGAACCTGTGTGTGGAGTGTGTGGTTTGTGCTGAGGCCTTGAAGCACTCGACACACTACGCATGTTTTGTGGTTTTGTTGTGACTAGCTCAACTCAAGGGCATACGAGTGTCAGGCTTTTATCATGAGCTTCAGCTTGTCGGCTTATTTGTATAGCCTCACAGAGGGTGAGTTTGAGCTTCAATCAGACCTGTTTGGACAGATCATCATCCCTTACTCCGACAACATTCTGTCTCTTATGAGCTCATCTTTGAGGGATCCAGTCATCTGCAAGTCAGTGCAAGTCTTCGATAAATATATATCGACACTCTCTCCCGGTAACCGAGTGCGTTTGTTGAATTTTGCATGACCAAAATTATATTCTTGCATGCATCAAAGTGAGTGTCAAACGCCTCTACCACTTCTGTGTATGTAGCGGTGCTTTCCTCCACTGACAAAGTCGTGAGGATGTCGTCGGCTACCTCCCCCATAGTGTACAGCAGAGTACTGACCTGCTCTGACTGTAACTTGTTTGGCAGAACCGTGCACAAACGAAACCTGTTGAAACATTGTGTCCAACGAGGCCACGACTCTGCCTTCCCATCAAAGAGCTTCGGCGGGGGAAGAGACATGCGGTGATGAACTGTTGTTTTACCGGCCTGATGAACGTTAACATCCGTGTCGTGTTCAGCCATTATTAAAAAAGTAAAGAAATGACACTTATATACCGTTGTCAACCGCTGCCACCATATAATATTGTTCGGTTTGTGGGTACAAATAGATTGAGGGAGAGTGAAGAAATGCACGCTTGAAAGGGCTCTTTGTTTTATTTTTGGCCTCTAGTACACTGTAACCGAAAAGTGACTACTGAGTTAAAGAAAGGTACTGTCTAAATCCTGATACGTTATGTAACAGTTATAACATAGATGTTATGTAATGTACATTATTCCATAACCAGAATACTCAGTCTAATCTAAAAAATCTGAGTCTTAAAGAGTTATGGCTCGTGAGATTACTCAATCATACCTAAAATATTATTTTAGTCTTAAAGAATTATGACTGAAATAGAAACAGGACAATACATACTGTTGCTTTTCTCTTGGATGATCAGCGTTCTGCCTTTTCAGTTCATCCAAGTATTGTGCCACTAGCAAATCTTCATAGCTGACCATATCAGATTTTGCTTTGTTGAAAAATGGTGAGGTCACTGGCAACCTTGGCCGTTCTGATTTTCTATCTGATCTTCTTCCCGACCTGAAAAAGTGTTGATTTGAAAAAATATTTAATAAATATAGATCTATCTAAAGGAAAAATACATTATCATCTCAGTAAAAAAAAAAAGAAAAGAAAAAATTAAAATCAAATGTTGCATACCGGGCGTCTTAAAAAAGAAAAATTTAAAGGCAACATATATTATCATTACAGAAAACTAAAGCAACTAAAATCATAAGTTTCATATCAAACTTCTTAAGATATAAGAATAAAGGAAGATATAAAATGAAGACAAAATGATACACACATGGACAGACACTTAAAAAGACTGAACAGATATAATAATTTAATGAAAAGACATGGAGAATGATGCAAGGATAAGTCCTTTTCCTATTTTTGGCCTGCCTTTGCCAACCCAAGCACACCAGCTAATGACAGCTTGTCAAAAAACAGCTACTCCATTTCCCCTTTGGATTTTTTCTGTATAGCGGCACTGCCTAAAACGATACCTGTCCAACGCCACCACAACTAACATTTTGTCAACCAATAGCCAAAAAAAAAACTTTGTCCAAGTTGGCCACAGAATTCTCTCAATGCCGAACACATTACCATAAATTATTTCTCAGCCCCTGATACTGTGGATGAGCCGGAATATCCATTTACCTATCATTATTGTTAGCCTGTCCTATGAATAAACCAATTGCTGATGAGCACATAGGCAAGGTTTCTGATCCCTCCCACTGTTTACCCTAGCTGATGTGGTTTATTTGGTTGCTTTTGGTTGTGGCAGCAGGGGGTTAGGCCTAGCCTATTGTATTATTTGGCTGAAAGCCTGAGAGTGAGTAAAGTGTGAGTCTCAGTTCAGTTGTATTGTTTGCAAGTTTATAAAAGCAGTCTGGGTTACTACAGGTTAGACTTTAGAGGGGAGAGCTGTAGCAAGGCAGAGGAGGCCTGCTGAGAGTTCGGGTGGAGAAAAGGTTAGTTAGAGCTCTGTTTGTTTCTGTGTAACGTGTGAGATTCCAACGCATCGGGGCCCCATCGCTGAGGAAAGGATCCCCACCCAGAGAGAAACAGGTTTGGCTAAGCCTTGCAGTAGGCGCAGGCAGACAGAAGGTTAGTGTTAAACATTGGTTTATGTTCAAGTAACAACAGCTGACCAGTCAGTAATATTTTAACTCTATTAACTCTGGAGGGGGTTTTCCCATCATGCAAGAGCCCTCTTTTGATACAAAACCTGAAAGTGACACATACGTGACAGATGCAGAAACTATGTAGTCATCGAGAAGGAGGCCCTTAATGTTTCCGGTGAAATAAATATCCATTTATCTTGGATAGAACTCATGGTATTTGTGATTCAAGGAAGTGAGGTCGCCTGGTTTCAGTGGTGAAAAATGTGAGAAAATGGCTGCCAAAGTTTGGTAACTCCAATAGCTAAAGAGTCTTTGAAAACTGGAAAATGACATATTTTGTGCCTTTAATCAATGTTTTTCAATAAAATTCACATGGAAATGTGTTTTTATACGGACATTAAAGATCAGGGTTTTTTTAGCCAAAAAATTAAAATTCAATAAAAATGTTCAAACTTGAAGAAAAATGCCCGTTTCTCAGATTTCATTATTTTGACGAGCCCCTGATTTCACCATGTTGCCTCATGTGTACACAAATGTGAAGCAGCATGGTGGAATCAGGCTCTCGTCAATTTTTGGGCATATTGAGTTATTGGTATTATCTTAAAGCTTGTTCATTTGTCTTGCTTCCAATGAAAAAAGTTACCCATCCATCTTCAATAGAAGTGGAGATATTTTGGATTGAAGGAGGGGGGGGTAACCTGGTTAAAGAGGTAAAATTAGCGAGAAAATGTCCACCAAAGCTTGGTAAATTCCAAAGCTGGAGAGTCCATGGAAACTGTAAATTTATATTTTTGTTCCTTTAATCAACGTTTTCGGTGAAATCCTCAAAGGAATGTGTTTGTAAATGGACATAAAATGTCTTGAGTCAAAAAACAAAAATTTGATAAAAATTGCTAAACAGGGAGAAAACTGCCGTCTTCTTCAATTTTATTATTTTGACGAGAGCCTGATTCCACCACGCTGCCTCACAAATGTATTTCTTTATTACTACAATCAGATATAGTAGTATATTATAGTCCAGGCCTCATACACAAATTCACACAAATATATGTACTAAAAATTTGCTCCAGTTGTTAAAAAAGAATGAACGAGATGCTTTAACTTCCAGAGAAAGTCTTTACTCAAAATTTGCTCCAGTTGTTAAAAAAGAATGAACGAGATGCTTTAACTTCCAGAGAAAGTCATTACTCTTCTTCTTCTTTTTCAAACAGAAAGTGGGAAAGGGTAATTTAAGTCCATCATTTGCCAAGGGCGGTTCTATCACTGGGCAAGACCATTAAGTACGGCTAGCCTCTTCCTATATAATATTCACTAGATCTATATATAATAATATATAGATCTATCTCATCGTTCAGACAGATCGACGCCTCCACACTCCTATGTACTCGCCACCCTTCTTCTCCATCTAGATCTAGATTCTAGATCTAGAATCTAGATCTATAATTAATTTCCTCCGACTCGAAGTGTACTGTACTCGTACTAGACTTTAGATCTAGATCTAGATCTAGAATCTAGATAGATATAATCTAGATTAGTAGTAGTCTATGAATTGAATGTTGTGTACTTGCTCTGCAAGCTGCTAAGCATTTCAAAACACAATTTGCATATCTCGTTTTCACCTTGTTGCTCCATGGGGAAAAACTAGATCTATTACAGTTTGCAAAATCGTCTTGCATCCATTTAACTCACCCTGGGGGGCGATCAAATCTCATCCGAATATGAAAAGTTTGAGTTTTCCAATCTCCGGCGTCTTGGTCAGCCATTTTGCTTATATTTGTTTGATTCGCCTTGGTGACGAATATCGCAGTAAATGTAAAAAAATATATATTGCATGTAAAAAAAAATAAAGTCTATAAACAACGATTAATCCAAATTTAAAAAATAGTGTCAAACTGAAATATATATGATTTGATTTTTTCAGTATTATATAAACTTTTGAAATATAACCGGAGAAAGCGAGTTATCTCCCATTTGTTTATTGATTTTTCCTCGATGCTGCTGCACAGACAAAGCTGCCCATAGCTTGCCAATTTGTATTGAAACTGTTAATTTTAAAATATTATGATAGGAGGGTTGACGGATTCATAGCAAGTCAATGAAAGGAATTTATAGCTCATAGTATTTGTTTGGATATTATGTTTTATCATATTCCCAGCAAATTCTAAGAGCGAAGATTTAGGGCCTAATTTATTGTAAGAATACCGGTACCATACTCCACTTGGCTTCCTCCTCCTGGTTAGGTCCATATGATAATGGATTCCAAAATGTCGCTGATAAACAAGTGAAATTTAGTGTCTCCAAGACGTGAAATATAAATCAATCTTTGTTTTTAATTGTGTCAAAGACACTTTTCGTCATGGAGTTGAACGAGCTTAAAAAGCTCAACGACTGCTCCGAAACAGAAGCTGTCTCTGTTTTAGAAAAGTTTATTGCTACCGTAAGTGTACAGACTCACTGTGTGTGTGGCTGTTGTCCTGTTGACTGTTGACTGTTGTGTTGATGCTGAGCTGCCTGATTTGATCTAGATTAGATCTAGATCTAGATTCTAGATCTAGAAATTCTAGATCTAATCTTGATCTAGATATCTACTGACTGAACTAGAGTCTAGAATATAGATCTAGTTCTAGAGATAGGCTGTATCTAAAGAGATCGGCCTCTTTGAACATTATAATTAGCAGACCACCTCCTAGCCTAGGGTCCTAGCCTCTAGAGCTAGGGCGCGC